CTATGTTATGTCTTTAAAAATGAGACTCCATCTATGTGAAGATTTGTTACATAGATAAATATGACTCATGGGAGTTCGTTGTACTGATTATTTCATCACCCAGGTATTAAGCCCAGTATCCGTTAATTATTTTTCCTGATCCTCTCCCTCCTCCCACCTCCACCCTCAGATAGGCCCAGTGTGTGTTGCTTTCCTCTATGTGTCCATGCTGTTCTCATTATTTGGCTTCCACTTATAAGTGAGAACATACGGTATTTGTTTTCCTGTTCCTGTGTTAGTTTTCTGACTAATGGCCTCCAGATCCATCCATGTCCCTGCAAAGGACATAATTTGATTCCTTTTTATGGCTGCTTAGTATTCCATGGTGTATATGTACCACATTGTCTTTATCCCATCTATCATTGATGGGCATTTGGGTTGATTCCATGTCATTGCTATTGTCCACCACTTTTTTAAGTCTAAAAAATCAACAATAAAATAAATCAAACTCTGATTTGTATGATCTGCCATTTTCCATGGTGTAAATACTCCCATTATGGCCAATTTCAAGCTATCAACATGACATCACTGAATGAGGCAGTAGGAAGAAATGTGTAGCAGCCCACCATTATATTTTTACCTATAGATACAATAGATGTAAATAACCTCAAGAGTAGAGATAATAGCAAAAGAATTAGGAAATAATGAGTTTTGAATACTTATTACCTTTGTCTTAATATAATTTATGTGATTATGTTTATACAGTTTAGTGTTTAACAATAGCTGTGCTAACAATCAACTCACACAAATCCTAAAATTTTAACAATCAGCTCTCACAGATTCACAGTTGTACCACACCACTGATTCATAGATACAGGAAGACAGCCTGTGGTATAGCAAGAGTGACACAACAGCCATGATGACTGATGTTTGATTCCTGCCTACTAAGGTATTCTGCAGCAAGGTCCTTAAACAATGCCCATAGCATAGATAACCCTTCAAAAGAAACAAAGCATGTAGCATAGATAATTACCTCAGTAAGATTCTTATCTAGACTCCCTAGTATTCATGAGTTTTGCAAGAAAGTCTGAGATAAGATCAGCTGTACATGTTTTATCCTAAAACCTTACATATTTTCTGGAGGGCAGATGTGGGGATCCACTTTAACAGAATCATCATTTCTGTTTGTACGTCCCTATTAAATATCTCTTTCTAAGAAACTGGATTTGTCAGCTTTTCTTTGGCCTCTCAGCTCCCTCAGCCTTTGGGGGTAGGTTTGCACATCTATGCTCATACAGGAACAACAGGGAGGCTCTTTCCTTTCCTTACTCCTTACCCACCCTCCAATTTTAAAGCCCCTAACTAAGAAGCAGCAGAGAAGCAGAAAAGACAGAACTTCAGATCCCTTTTAGCTCTGGTCAGTAAGCTTAGGAGTGAAGACCACATCAACCTGGTGACTGTTTCTGAGGAGTCAAAGAAATACCAGTGCGTTGCTAAATATTATAGGGTAAGTTAAGAGCTCTTAGTTAGGAGAAGAGCTGGAGCACGAAAGCAACAATAAATCATTTAGCGTTGCCTGTAGTTAGGTGAGGCTTTAATTGGATGTGTGTCTGGAGTTTTGATAACACGTAGTACCAGACTTTTTATTACCTGAGAATGATCAGATAAGCTAAATTAATAAGCATTTAATTTAGAGGAGAAAAATACATTCACGGGAAAATTATCCAGAATTAAAAATGTTTGCTTTAATTTCTTCCCTATATAGTCCAGCTTGTTCAGTAAATCAGTTACATGAACTATTAAAAACAAAGAAGAGGTTTCGAGGGCAAGATGAATCTAGGCTGTACTCACAGTGAATTGGCAAAAACCAAGATAACAATGAGAAGATATCCAAGATGCTTCAGAAATTTCAGACTTGAAGATTCAGAGTAGATTACATGAGAGATAGACATCTGGGAGTTAAAAGCATAATAGGTTTGTCAAGGTTATGACCATAGATAAAATCCTTTAGACAGAGAAACACAGTCTATTCAACAGGGCACAGGCAGACAACCATTAATCCTACTAAGAGGCACGCACTGTGCTAGAAAGTTTAAATATGTCGCCTCACATATGTATCAAAGCAACTCTACAAAGTAGATGTTATACCCACCTTGCCAATGAGGAAACTAGGGTTCAGATGAGGTAAATAATTCACTGAATAGTCACACAACAAAGAAATTCTGGTGCCACATTTGAATCTAGGTCATCTGACTCAAAAGCTATTAATCTTTAACTACTCTATGAAGTGTCATTATTCATTCCCAATTTTTGCAGTTCAAAATTAACCTCAATACTCCTATTCTAGACATTTCTGATATCAACTTGAAGAAGAATGGAAAACTAAATTTTGATGGTAGTTTAAAAGTTGGGAATGGCCTTCAAGAGATTAGGCAGGTATGGGAGTCAGATGTAAGAACACTATGGAGGGAAATAGAAGAAGATAGCTTTATCTCCTTCAGTTTTTCCAGATGAGTCTTGAACTCCCCAACCACTTTTCTTTCTTTCTTTCTTCCCTTTTAACCATCTCCTGTATTTCCCATGCTCATTCCTGCTACTAAGCCTTTGGTTCTTGGGATATTTCCTACATGACTTGCCACATCTTCTTCTAACCTATCCAAATGCTATTGGCCTTTGAGGTTCAATGTAAGTTCCACTTCTTCTCTGAACCTTTCTTTGCCAACTCCAGTCCTGCTATTCTTTTCCACCCATAAACATACACCATAATATTTAGCAACACACTGGTATTTCTTTGACTCCTCAGAAACAGTCACCAGGTTGATATGCTCTTCACTCCTAAGCTTGCTGACCAGAGCTAAAAGGGATCTGAAGTTCTGTCTTTTCTGCTTCTCTGTTGCTTCTTGGCATTGGGCCTCCCTTATTTGTAGGTGCCCAGTTTTCTTTGCAGTTGCCCTTCCCCTAACCTGTACCTATTGCTGCCCTCCCTGTGGATAACATGTTTCAAGTTACCTATATCTTACTTTTAACCCACCCTACATCCAGTATATGTATCTAATTTAATCAACATTAAGGTGAGATGTACTGAAAGTTCTTTAACTCTTAGACATTTCTAAAAGTTGGATCTTTATGCCAGTGTGGCAGGCAGGTAGGTCTTATCCCTACACCACCTTGACAAAAAGCCAGCCTTCAAAAGCGGAACAAAAAAGGAGAGTGTGGAGTCATTACGCCTTTACATTTGAGGAGACTCCTGCTACTTTGCTTCCCCTCCCATAGACAATGATCTCCCTCCATTTCCCCTGGGAGCTTAAATTCCACTCTATTCTTCCTTCCGACTGAATTCCGTAAAGAGGAAACCCCTTTCACAATATACAGGAGGATCTTGACCCTGAACAATGAATCTAGAAGTCTTTAGAAGGACTTCAAGGCAGTTTCATACTGCACCAACTTTCTACTTCATTCAGCACATTTTTGTTGAATATATATTACCTACTAAACATTGGAGATACAAAGGGAGACAAAAACAATCCCTGAGATTAAGTAAGGAGTTTATGGTGCTGGTGGGGTCAGGCAGTAAGAATTTACAAAAAAGTGGGATAAGTCTAAATTTAGAGGATGACAAGGTGCTACAGGAACACACAGAGAGGACACCTAGTTGTCTTGAGGATGTTAGATAAAGTATCTTAGAGGAAGCAATGGCTTGATGAAACCAAAGGTCGATGAGTTAGCTAGGGAAAAGTAGTTGGGAAAAAGGTATGTGCAAATGCTCAGAAAGAAATTGGCACATCCTGGGATCTGGAAGTGTAGTGTGGCCTAAATGGACCACAGTGTGAGGGAGATAATGTGAAAATAAGGTGAAGCAAGATTAGATCTAAATGGGCTTAAGGAATGTATTTCCTCCTCCTAGAAATGAATGCTTTGTTTGGCTGCTATACTAGTAACAGGAATTAGACACGTTTATTAAACCGCTTACCATTTAACTTGGTAAATCAAAGAACAATGATTTTTATGGGTATCAGTAAATATCTGTAATTAGATACGTGGTAGGCTTTCCTGTTCATATATAATGGTTATTCTCAGTGTTTAAAGAATTAAAGGGACACTGGTAATTACTAGTTTTAGAGTGAGCCATTTGGAAGATAATACCTTACCATTACAATAGTACCTTACCATTACCAATAGTAAAATAATATGAATAGTGAATAATATAGTAAAAACAGTTAGAAATAATTTAGCAATTTCTTAAAAACAATTGACCACCACGAAAAAAATTCACAATAAAACGGAGACTGGGAATGTTTCGTTCAACTTTCAAACATGCTGCTATTGATTGGAAATGTAAGAAATGTTCATTTGTTTTGACAAAATGGAAAGCAACTGTACATTATTACTGGAAACTTTAGCTGAGGTCAACGTTGTAAATGTAAAGGATAATTTATCTTAGAGAACAATTCAGTAGTATTGTTTTGCCTTGTCATGAAAAATTTTTGTGCTTCCACAAACAAAAATCTTGGATTGTTAGGTGAATGGTGGCAATGAAGTGGTTTTCAGAAGACTCAGTTTCTTCATCTACAAAAATGACAGGAAGTGGGGCCGTCATTCTGCCAGTAAGACATTCTGCCAATAAGTGGGGCTCCTTCTGCCAATAAGAGCATGAGATCTGCGCCTCTAATTTCTCTCAGAAACAAATAATGAGAACTTCATACCAATTCATCTATTATATGAAAGCTTTGTCCCGTGAGAATACTGGTCTATCTTTAGATATGTAATTTATCAAACTTCTTTGGGCAACCCATCTTTTTTACTTTTTTATTTTTTATTTTTTGGTCTTCTCTTTGTCAAATTTTTATGGAATAACTACATTCAGGTGTAGTAATAGTAACGCAAAGCTCTGAAAACCACGAGACAATCCGTTGCTTCCGAAACGCAGCCGGCAGCAGGCACTCGAGAAGACTAAGTATGAGCTCCCGAGCACCCGTAGGTCGGATTCCGTGGATAAGGCACCGGAAGTGACCGCTTCTTGGCTGCTTCCTCTCCTGAAGTCCAAAGTCCAGCTGCTCCGCCGCAATATTCAGTAAACCACTGGGAGTCCGGCAGCATGGAGGCAGCGCGCCCTCCCGCGACTGCAGGGAAATTCGTGGTGGTCGGCGGCGGCATCGCGGGCGTCACTTGTGCGGAGCAGGTAGGGCGGTGCTCAGGCGGTTCCGCCTCTTTCCCCTACCCCAAAGGCGGTAGCGCTGAAGACTTTCCTCCCACCCCCTCCCTTTTTCTTCCGGGTTCCTCTTTTGCTGCGTGCTTTTCGCGCTTATTGCTCCCAGATTTTAGAAACGGCTCGGTGGTCCTCACATGGCCTCACTAGCTTTCTCTCAGGCGCAGGGAGGAGTGGGAGGCAAATTATTGCCGAGAAACCAAAGCTGGCAGATCCGTGCTCAGATCCTTGTAATGTCAGAGCAGACATGAGAACTTAGTATTTAGACAAAAAATTCAGCCCTCTTTTTTTTTTTTTTTTTTTTTTTTTTTTTTTTTATTTGAGACGGAGTTTCACTCTGTCGCCCAGCCTGGAGTGCAGTGGTGCGATCTTGGCTTAATGCAACCTTTGCCTCCCGGGTTCAAGCGATTCTTCTCTTGCGTCAGCCTCACAAGTAGCTGGGATTACAGGCGCCCGCCACCACGCCCGGCTAATGTTTGTATTTTTAGTAGAGAAGGGTTTTCACCATGTTGGCCAGGCTGGTCTCGAACTCCTGGGCTCAAGCAGTCTGCCTGCTTCCGCCTACCAAAGTGCTGGGATTACAGGCCTGAGCCACAGCGCCCGGCCCTCAGCCCCCTTTGTTAATTGTCATAGGTGACTGAGTTTAGTTTCCAGATAGTTGCCAAGTCTTTAGTGCACCTTAACTAATTAATAAAGAATCCCATATGTAAGTTTTCTATACTTCGAACTCCCAAGATAGAAGATACTTTATTTCTAGTAATGTTTTGTAAAACAATCAGGAAGGGATTATGTGCATGTAGGGCATGCTTTCCTGTTGATACTGAATAGCCAGACCGTATATATTCATATACATGTGTGTATTCCAAAAAGTTCTAGGTTATTTTGTTGATATAAATATGAGCAATCGCTGAAGTCATAAGAAATAGTGCAAGAAACTCAAGTGTTTTCATTATTGGATGCATATTTTTCATTTATTCACTAAGTAAGCATATATGATGCAGGCACTGTATTTAAGGGCTGAGTGTTCAGCTATGAATGGCATGGTATACCATACTAGGGACCCACAGCCTAGTGGAAGAGACAATGTTGTATGTCTATGCAAGAGATATCAACGGTTATCTTAGGGGTGCCTGTGGAGTAGTTAGGGAGTGAATTAGGAAAGAGGATTTTTTTTTTTAATCGAAGGAGGTATTTTTTAAATCTCATTTTGAGAGAATGAGTGAAAGTTCAAGTATTCAAGAAAAGAATGTCATCTCCAGTGGAAAAGCAGGGATCATCAGCGAGCAGTAAAGCTTAAAGCATAGATCATAAGGAATCTTATAAATCATGCTAAGAACTTAAGAAGAATTTACAAGTAGTCAGATGTTTTTGAGCGGTGGAGTAACTTGATCATGTGAAAAGGTTTGAAAGATGATTAGTTACAATGTATTTGTGGCAGAGGCAGCTGGTTTATACGTGAAACTGGGGAGCCAATTTGAAGGTGATTTGAGTAGTATAAAGAAGTTTCGAGGACCTCATCTAGCAATGGAAACAGGGAGATAAGTTACAGAATATACAAAGGAAAGAAAGATGGAGAGAGTAATAATATTGCCAAATATAGAAAGTTCAAATAGAATGAGACTAAGAAGAATCCCATGGGTGTTGGGCACGATAGCTCACAGTTGTAATTTCAGAACTTTGGGAGGCCAAAGTGAGAGGATTGCATGAGGCCAGGAGTTTGAAGCCAGGCCGGGCAACATGGCAAGATCCCATCTCCATTAAAAACAAGAAAAGAAAAGAAAAGAAATAATCCCTTGGATTTTAAGGATTCATAGATACCTCAAACATGCTGTTTTAGTGATGTAGTAGGAATAGAAGCCAGATATATTGAGGGTGGTGGTGTGGAGGAACCAGACTTTGAGATAAGAAAATGCTTTCAGGTACAGAATGAAGAAAGAGATTATAGCTAAAGGAAAATAATGCAACATTAACAAGTTATACCTCTAAATTTTGTTGAAGCTATTGTTAAAATGGCTTTATCATCCCACAATATGTACTGACTGGAAGAGGCAGAATAGGAGTGCCAAAGCATTGGGGAAAGTCAGACCAATATTCTAAGTGTTTAATATTGAGGGTTTGCTTTGATTTCATCCCGTTGAAGACAAATGAAATATTATTTTAAGATAAATATAAGTTGGTTTAACTGTTAGGTAGGAAAATAGTTTATTCTAATTCTCTGCATTATAACTCTAAATTGGTATACAAAATAGTTGAAGTAAATAAAGGATACTTCTTTTTTTTTTCTTTTTTTTTGAGACGGAGAGTCTTGCTGTGTCACCCAGGCTGGAGTGCAGTGGCGCGATCTCGGCTCACTGCAAGCTCCGCCTCCCAGGTTTACGCCATTCTCCTGGCTCAGCCTCCCGAGTAGCTGGGACTACAGGCATCCGCTACCACGCCCGGCTAATTTTTTATATTTTTTTAGTAGAGACGGGGTTTCACTATGTTAGCCTGGATGGTCTCGATCTCCTGACCTCGTGATCCGCCCGCCTTGGCCTCCCAAAGTGCTGGGATTACAGGGTGAGCCACCGTGCCTGGCCATAAAGGATACTTCTTTATATCACTTTTCTTGTTCAGCAGTTCTTTGTTAGTGTTTGCTGTAAATATATTATTTTATCAGTATCAGAGTTTACCATTATTTACCATTGCCCCATAGATAAGGACATGACAGGGGATAATGGAGACCTTTAGATGAGGAGCAGTGAGTTTTTAATTTTCTAGATTAATTACATTATTAAAGTTGCATCATCCTCAACCCCAAACCATATATGCCAGTAGTTAATTTGTTCTAATTTTTTTTCTCTCTTTTTAAAAATAAGTTGGCTACTCAGTTTCCATCAGAAGATATTCTCTTGATAACAGCTTCTCCTGTTATTAAAGCAGTTACGAATTTCAAGCAGGTAAGAACCTTTGTATAACTTCTTAATATTAATTTGAAAAAATTGCAATTTAACTTGCATAGCATTAAGGTAACTATTTTTTTCTTTCTTAAAAATTGACAAGTACAATTATATGCTGTACAACATGATGTTTTGATATATGTATACATTGTGGAATGGCTAAGTCAAGCTATTTAAAATCTTTCCAATTTTGATGCCTTCTATTTCTTTCTCTTACCTAATTTAATTACTCTAACTAGGACTTTAGTACTGTGTTGAATAGAAGTGTTGAAAAGTGGGCATCCTTGTGTTGTTCTTGATCTTGGAAAAGCTCTCAGCTTTTCACCATTCAATATAGTATTAGCTATAGGCTTGTGTATGACCATTTTTATGTTGAGGTACATTCCTTCTATACCTAGTTGTTGGGCTTTTGTTATGAAAAGATGTTTAATTTTGTTGAATTTTTTTTCTGTATCTGTACAGATGGTCATGATTTTTGTCCTTTGTTCTGTTAATGTGGTATATCACATTTACTGATTTGCATATTTTAAGCCATGTTTGCATCCCTGAATAAATCCCCCTTGATTATGGTGAATTGATGATTTGTATTTTATTGTTGTTATTGTTTTGTTTTTTGTTTTTGTTTTTGTTTCTTTTTTGAGACGGAGTCTCGCTCTGTTGCCCAAGCTGGAGTCCAGTGGCGCAATCTTGGCTCATTGCAAGCTCTGCCTCCCAGGTTTACACCACTCTCCTGCCTCAGCCTCCTGAGCAGCTGGGACTACAGGCAACCACCACGACGCCCGGCTACTTTTTTGTATTTTTTAGCAGAGATGGGGTTTCACCATATTAGCCAGGATGGTCTCGATCTCCTGACCTCACGATCCACCCGCCTCGGCCTCCCAAAGTGCTGGGATTACAAGTGTGAGCCACCACACCTGGCGAATTGATTACTTTTAATATGTTGTTGAAATCAGTATGTTAGTATTTTGTTAAAGATTTTTGCATCTATATGCATCAGGGATATTGACCTGTAATTTTTTTTCTTGTAGTATCCTTACCTGGCTTTTGTATTGGGTAATGCTAGCCTCATAAAATGAGTTTGGAAATTTTCCCTCCTCTTCAATTTTTTGGAAGAGTTTCAGAAAGCTAGGTATTAGTTCTTTAAATGTTTGACAGAATTCAGCAGTGAAGTCATCAGGTCCTGGGTTTTTCTTTGATGGAAGACTTTTTATTGCTAATTTAATCCCCTTACTTATTACTGATCTGTTCAGATTTTCTGTTTCTTTGTGGTTTAATATTGGTAGGCTGTATGTAGGTATGTATCCGCTTCTTCTAGGTTGTCCAATTTGTTGCAGTATAATTATTCCCAATAGTCTCTTATGATCCTTTGTATTTCTGTTGTATCAGTTGTAAAGTGTCCTCTTTCATTTCTGATTTTATTTACTTGAGTCTTGTCTCTTTTTCAGTCTAGCTAAAGGTTTCTCAATTTTTTTGTATTTTCAAAATAACATCTTTTTGTTTTGTCGATCTTTTCTATTGTTTTTCTAGTCTCTACTTCATTTATTTCTGCTCTGCTCTTTGTTTCCTTCCTTTCTTTAATTTTGAGTTTAGTTTGTTCTTAGTTTTCTAGTTCCTTGAGATGTAACCTTAAGTTGTTTACTTGGTATCTTTCTTTTTTGATATAAGTGATTATTGCTGTAAACTTTGCTCTTAGAACTGCTTTTGCTGAATCTTGTAAGTTTTGGTATGTTGTGTCTTCATTTTAATTAGTCTCAAGATATTTTTAATTAAAAAAATTCTTTCTTGACCCACTGGTTCTTTAGGAGAATGTTGTTTAATTTCTAAATATTTGTGAATTTTCTGAAATTTCTCCTGTTATTAATTTCTAGTTTTATATCATTGTGGTAGGGAAAAGGTGCTTGATATGATTTCATCCTTGTATTTGTTAAGACTTGTTTTGTGACCTATTGTGATTTATCGAATGTTCCATGTGCGCTTGAAGAGGATGTGTACTCTGCTGCTAAGTGAAATATTCTGTATGTGTCTGTTAAATCCATTAGTTCACATCCAGTGTTTTATTTCCAATAATCTTTTCATTGTTGAAAGTGGGGTACTGAAATTCCCTACTCTTTTATTTTTTGAGACAGAGTCTCGCTGTGTCACCAAGGCTGGAGTGCAGTGGTGCAATCTTGACTTACTGAAACCTCCATCTCCCAGATTCAAGTGATTCTCCTGCCTCAGCCTCTCGAGTTGCTGGGACTACAGGTGTGTGCCACCATGCCTAGCTAATTTTTTTTTTGTATTTTTGTTAGAGATGGGGTTTCACCATGTTGGCCAGGGTGGTCTTCCTGACCTCAAGTGATCCGCATCCCTTGGCCTCCGAAAGTGCTGGGATTACAGGTGTGAGCCACCATGCCCAGCCACTCCTACTCTTTTTATACTGCAATCTGTGTCTCTCTTCATATCAGTTAATATTTGCTTTATTAGGTGCTCTGATGTTACGTGCATATATATTTACAGTTGTTATATCTTCATAATGAATTGTTCTCTTTAGCATTTTGTAATGACCTTTTTTGTTTCATTTTACAGTTTTTTACAAATGGTTATTTTATCTGGTACAGTTACATCCACTCTCTTGTTTTCTCTTTGCGTGAAATATCTTTTTCCCTCCTTTTCCTTTTCCTGTGTGTCCTTACAGGTGAAGTAAATTTCTTGTAGGTAACATGTAGTTAGACCTTGTTTGTTTATTCATTCAACCACTGTTTCTTTCACTTGAGAATTAGTCCATTGATATTCAAGGTAATTGTTGATAGGTAAAGACTTACTGCTGCCTTTTTTTGTTAATTGTTTTCTAGTTGTTTTGCAAATCTATATTCCTTTTTTCTTTCTTCCTGTCTTCATTCTAATTAAATTATTGGTATCCTACTTGAATACCTAATTACTAATTGGTATCCTTTCCTTTCAGTTTGAAGAGCTCCTTTTAGCATTTCTCTAGTGGTAGCTTCAGTTCCTTATTCTTTTCATATTTAGTGTATGTTTTTGCTTTGTGGTTATCATGAGGCTTATGTAAAACAATTATAACGGATATTTTTTCTTTTTTTTTGAGACAGAGTCTCACTCTGTCGCCCAGGCTGGAGTGCAGTGGCCGGATCTCAGCTCACTGCAAGCTCCGCCTCCCGGGTTCACGCGATTCTCCTGCCTCAGCCTCCCGAGTAGCTGGGACTACAGGCGCCTGCCACCTTGCCCGGCTATTTTTTTTTTTTTTGTATTTTTTAGTAGAGACGGGGTTTCACCGTGTTAGTCAGGATGGTCTCGATCTCCTGACCTTGTGATCTGCCTGTCTCGGCCTCCCAAAGTGCTGGGATTACAGGCTTGAGCCACTGCGCCTGGCTATAATGGATATTTTAAGCTGAAAACTACTTAACTATGACCACATAAAGTAACTCTACACTTTTACTCTACTCCTCTACCACATTTTATGTTTTTGATACCACAATTTACCTCATATTATATATCCCTTAAATTATTGAAGCTACTGTTATATTTAATAGTTTTGTCTTTATTTAATAGTTTTGTGTAAGCCAAACATATAAGTGGCTTACACACCACCATTACAATTTTAGAGTATTCTCAGTTTGACTGTGTAGTTACTTTTACCAGTTAATTTTTATATTTTCACATGTTTTCATGTTACTAATTGGTGTCCTTTTCTTTCAGTTTGAAAAACTCCCTGTAGCATTTCTTGTAAGACAAGGCTGGTGGTGAAGAACCCCCTCAGCTTTTATTTGTCTGTGAAAGTCCTTATCTCACTTTCATTTCTGAAGGACAGCTTTGCCAAGTACTGTATTTTTAGTTGGCAGTTTTGTTTTTTGTTCCTTCAGCACTTTGAATATATGATTTGTGTTAGGCCTTTCCTGCATTGCTATAAAGAAATACCTGAGGCTGGGTGATTTATAAAGAATAGAGGTTTAATTGGCTCATAGTGCTACATGCTGTATGGGAAGCATGGTGCCAGGAATCTGCTCAGCTTCTAATAAAGCCTCAGGAAGCTTACAATCATGGTGGAAGGTGAAGAGAGTAGATGTATCGTATGGTGAGAGCAGGAGCAAAGGAGAGAGTGTGAGGGGAGGTGCCACACATGTATAAACAACCAGGTCTCACAAGAACTCATCATGGCAAGGACAGCATCAAGCCATGAGGGATCTGCTCCCGTGATTTAGCCATCTCCCACCTCCAACACTGGGGATTACATTTCAACATGAGATTTGGCAGGGACAGATGTTCAAATCATGTTATTTTTTCATTTTGTCCTGGCCTGTAAGGTTTCTCCTGAGAAATCTGCTGTTAGCCTTTTGGAGACTCCCTTATTGTGATTTGCTTTTCTCTTTCTGCTGTAATGGCCGTCTCCTTGTTTTTGATTTTTGACAGTTTAATTATAATATGTCTTGGTGTAGCCTTATTTGGATTGAATCTGATTAGAGACTTTTGACCTTCTGGTTCCTGGATATTTATATCTTTCTCCAGATTCGGAAAGTTTTTTATTGTTATTTCTTTAAATACACTTTCTACTCCTTTGTCTCTCTCTTCTCCTTCTATAACTCCTATAACTCAAAGATTTGCTTCTTTGATGCCATCCTTTAAATTCCATATTTTTACATTCTTTTCATTCTTTTTTCTTCTTCGTTTTTGACTGTGTATTTTCAAATAATCTGTCTTTAGATTCACGGATTTTTTTCTTCTGTGTGATCAGTTCTCTTGTTGACATAGTCTGTTGCATTTTTTGTTTGTTTGTTTCATCCATTGCATTTTTCATTGCCAGAATTTCTGCTTTATTTTTTAATAACTTGTCTTTTTAAATTTTTTGTTTTGGTTGCTTATTGTTTTCCTGATTTAATTGTTTGTTTGTAACTTCTTGAAGTTCCTTCAGCTTCTTTAAACAATTATTTTGAATTCTTTGTCAGACAGTGGTTTTATTTGTGTGTGTTCTTTTAGTGGCATGTCTTCTTGGTTTATCATGTTTCTTGTTGCCATTTCTTTCTGTTCTTTTGGTGGCATGGCTTCTTGGTTTATCATGTTTCTTGTTGCCATATGTTGATGTTTGCACATTTGATGACACACTCACTGTTTTCACACGTATGGGCTAGTTTTGCTGTGGAAAGACCTTCCCCTATGGGGAGGGCTGCTTGTTGGATAGGATGTAGCAGTACTGGCACCAGTGAGGGTCCATGCAGCTCTGTCAGCTGAGTTAATTGTTGAAGATTGCAGGGATCCTCAGCATCCAACTCTGGATGTCTGCAGTGGTAGTGAGGGTTGTTGGGGTTTTCAATGTCAGTGGCTGCTAAGAGCCTCCCAATCACAAGGAAGTTGTGGCTTAGGGGATCCCAAGTGGCACTGAGTCTGCCTTCCGGTTCAGTGGCAGCAGCACTGGTGTCTGATAAGTGGTGCCTATGGAGCAGTGATAGAGCTGAGACCCAAAACACAGGCATACATGGAGGAACAAAAGCTCTGGGATCTGGGACAGTAATGACATTGTTGCCTAGAGTGCAAGTACCCATACTGCTGTATTGGTAATAGAATGTGAGGTGAGGATGCTTGTGAAGCAGCCAGGGAAACCAAGGATGGGAACACAGGTGTGCTGTGAAGCAGCCAGGGAAACCAGGAATGGGAACACAGGTGTGCTCAAAGTTATAGCAGCTTCATTGTCAGGGAAGGGCCTTGCTTTCAACTGTGGCTGAGCCAGTGCCTGGATTTCAGACATGTGCAGTGAGGCTTGGTTGCAGGGCCCAAAGTGCAAACTAGCTTACTATGGTGATGGCTCTGGTGTCTGAGATGTAGGTGGGCCCAGTGCAGGCCATAGAACCTGGGTCTGGGCCGGGCGCGGTGGCTCAAGCCTGTAATCCCAGCACTTTGGGAGGCCGAGACGGGCAGATCATGAGGTCAGGAGATCGAGACCATCCTGGCTAACACGGTGAAACACCGTCTCTACTAAAAAATACAAAAAACTAGCCGGGCGAGGTGGCGGGCGCCTGTAGTCCCAGCTACTTGGGAGGCTGAGGCAGGAGAATGGCGTGAACCCGGGAGGCGGAGCTTGCAGTGAGCTGAGATCCGGCCACTGCACTCCAGCCTGGGTGACAGAGCAAGACTCCGTCTCAAAAAAAAAAAAAAAAAAAAAAAAAGAACCTGGGTCTGATGTGTGGGCATTCTCAGAGTGACCATGGCTCTGGGGTTGGGACACTTACGGGGTTGAGAGATAAAGTGACTCCTTTCCCAAAGCATCTTGACATTGGCCACTTCTTTGTGAAGACAAGCTGTGCCGCCATGTCTCCCTCTCTGGGGTTCCCTGGCCAGAATGGTGGTTGGATCCGTCACAGTAGCAAGGGATGCCAGTTTCCTCTGCAGTGCAGGCCACCATGGACCACAGTGCTCCCCACCATGTGACTGATACTAATAGCCTCTGCCTTTCTTTGCTCCTAGCCGTTTCCTGGTTTCTCAGGTGTGCCAGGGTCAGTATTGATTCTTATTATGTGGCTATTCTCCATTTTCTTGCTCCACTGTGTTGCTGCAGATTGTAAAATGGGCCCTTGAGCCCTCTTTGGGCTATTTTGGCTTGTGAATAGTCGTCTATATTTGTTTTGTTGTTTTTTTCTTAATGGGAGAATGAAGGCTGGTATCTCCTACTTAGCCATCTTGATGATAATACCTCCATGCATTCTGGAGTGTTTTAATTGTTTAAAATTACAAATATTCTTTTGACAGTCATTTTAAAAAACCTCGAGTTGAGAATTATTCACATAAAATACCGAAAGCTCCCAGAATTATACTGAATTTTTAGTCTTCTATTCTTTTTCTCCATTTTCCTTCCACTTAGAATTACTTTTGAGAAAGTTTCCAATAAAAATTTTCCAGGAAAGATGCTCTGCAAATCTAAAATGGATACAAATATACATGTAGATAGTTATTATAAATATGGGTAGGGGTGTGTGTATGTGTGTTTACAAATCAGAAAAGTACTTCCAAGCCAAGTTTATACTTACAGATAATTGGTGTTTCAGATATGTAATAAGCATCTCGGAATACTTTGTATTCCATTAATTTATATTCACATTATAATAGGAGTCTAAGAACAGTGGGGTCATAGTATAGAAAAGCCATCTCCAAACTTTTTTGATCCTGTAGCTCAACTGTTAAAACGTTTTGCCTTGACATCCCAATATATGTATACTAATAAGTTATATGCATGAGCTACAGAACTACAATTATAAATATTATAAAGCCTATGCAAAATAAAATTTATAAAATGGTGAAAAACGTAGGTTCTTTCTTCCCACCCTTCAGTGAAGACTACTACCATAGCCCTTCATTTAATACGATGTTTCTTGTAATATCCTGATAATGGAATATAATTTTCTCATATTGTAAACCTGTAAGACCAAGGGTAGTTTAGTGGCATATACCATGTTGTCCCTTTATAACCTAAGCAGAGATACATATGATATCTTACTAGTTAGGTATAGCCAAAGAATTAAGGAGTTTGGGAGAAATAGAGGGAAAATTATAGCTATTAATCTTTAAAAGGTAAAAGTACATATTTAATGACAGGCTGAGACTGTATACATAAGAGAAAGATGTATAGCTGGGTCCCATAATTATCTTTCCAGAAGACCTAATTCAGTATAATAATCCAAGAGTTGTGAGACTTGAATTCAGTTTTTGCCAGTTTTGTAAGTTATGCACAATAGAAGGAAAAAACTTGGTTTCTAGGCCTCTTATTTACTGGTCAGGTAGCCTTGGAAGAGCTCTGTAAACTGCTTCTCCTGTAGTATTAATACTTTCCTTGCTTATTTCACAGGGTTGGGAGCTTAAATGTGCCAATAACAAATATACAAATATCAGCTATTCTGTGTACAGCAGTAGGAAATGGCATTATCTTTATGATTTATTGAGTACCTATATTATGTATTAGCCAATGTACTAGGCACATAAGATAGAGATTAAAAGTATAGAGCATAATACCAAAAAGTCACTAGTGCTTATCCTGAGGGATTATGGATGAGATTTGGAGAGGGATAAAGAGAGACTTTAACATTTACTCTCTATTATGTATTGTTTGTTTAGTGTTACAAAGAACATGATTCATGACTTGTATAATTTTTAAAGGAGAAAAAAGATTACTAGTAATAATTCATATTTATTAAGTGCTTACCATGCACCAAGTAGTCTTCTAAAGGTTTCAAATATATGATCCTTAAATAACCCTAGAAGTAGGTTCTTACATAATTTGTAAGACCGTAGAGGGGTCATGAGACCAAAAGGTTTGAGAACTGTCAAGGCCATGCAGTAAGATTTCCATGCAGTTTTTAAGGAGCAGCTGAGGTTGAATATCAATCTGTAAGGCTGTGTGGTCTTTCTGCAGCAAACTGGGCTTAGGACTAGAGCAAGTAGATAATTTATAGGGTTGGGGATTTTCAGGTTAACAGTTTAGGATAAGAGAGTAAGGTAGTGAAGGATTTAGGGAAAAGGTGAAATGATTCACAACTGAACTTTAACTGGACAGAAAGGAAAGTGAGTCTAGAAGAATACTGATGGTTTTATAGAACAGGAAGGAAGAGTGCAAAGACTAGATGACCATAAGGTCTGCTAGTAAATAGAGAGTGAAAGCTTGAAGGATAAGGAAATAAATAAGCTGTCTGACTAAACTGTAGAAATGTAAGTGGTGTTACCTCTCATTTTACAGGTCAGTTCTCATTTTATTAGCCGGGAAACTATGGCTTATAACACCTGACTTGCCCAGGAGTGGCCAAGCAAATATTTAAGTCTCTAAATGCTGAATGTAATCCTCTTTCCACTCTATATAGTGCAGTTGGCTAACTTTTTTGTTTTACAAACACAAAATAGTGTATAAAAGCAAAGTCTTTTTTTTTATTTAAGTTCTTGAAAGAAAATACTTTAAAAATATACATTTTTAATCTCTTTGATCTGTACAGATTTCTAAAATATTGGAAGAATTTGATGTTGAAGAACAATCAAGTACCATGTTAGAAAAACGCTTTCCCAACATTAAGGTTATAGAATCTGGCGTAAAGCAACTGAAGAGTGAAGAACACGTAAGATAATTGTTTTCTTAATAACATTTTCCATTATTGAATCTTGATGAGGTTTTGCCTGCCTTCTTTTCACTCCAGCTCTACCACCACCACCACCATTTAAGTTTTTAATATGTAAAGTTTAGTGACATTGATTTCTGATATTATTAGAAAAAATACAGTTTTTGTAAGTTTATTGGAATTATATAATTAGATTTGGGATTTTAGTCTTCACATTTCAAATTACATTAATGTTTATAAAGTGCCCACTGTGTTCTGGTTACTGCATTAGGTGCTGGGATGCAGTAGGGATAATACGAGGTGTCTGCTCCTAGGAACTGTCAGTGTCAAAGGGAATATGAACATGCGTACAATAATTATATTGACATAAAAAAACACAGTCATATAAAAAACACAGTCACTGAAATACTGTCAAAGCTCTGGTATCAGGGATTTAGGAAGACTTCACAGAGAGAGTAAAATGAGCTGGGTATTAACAGATGAATGAAATTAAGAGTTCGCCGGGTGGAAAGGGGCATTCCAGGAAGAGGAGGTTGAATGTACAAAGACCCAAAGAAAGGAAAAGAAATATGAAGAATAGAGATGTCAAAGGGATTAGGGTATAGTTAAGTAAAGGAGATTGGCAATCAAGGCTAGAAGCTAAGTAAATAAGATCCTGAAGGGTTTTTAATGTCATACTCTAAGAAGTTGAGTTTGTTTTATATTTGGGAGAAATTGTAAGGTGATTTTAAGAGCTGAGGCATCAATAATAAAATTGATTTTTTTTTTCTAAGGAAGATGGATCTGATAGGAGTGTTGAGAATGAACAAGTGGCCAGTAGCCAACCGAATTAGAAGGTGGTTATGATAGTCAAATATTATGTAAAGGGTCAGGAAATTATGTACAGGCTCACACCTATAATCCCAGCACTTTGGGAGGCCAAGGCAGGTGGATGGCTTTAGCCTAGAAGTTCTACTCTAGCCTGGGCAATATAGTAAAAACCCATATCTACAAAAAACATACAAAAAATTAATCAGGCATGGTGGCATGCACTTGTGGTCCCAGCTACTTGGGACACCGAGGTGGGAAGATCACCTGAGCCTGGGAGTTCAAGGCTGCAGTTAGCTGTGATTGTGCCACTGCACTCCAGCCTGGGCAACAGAGTGAGACTCTGTCTCAAAAAGAATAAACAATTTTTTAAAAAATTGATTTGAAAAATGATGTAAGGCCTGAACTGAGACAGGGACAATGTAGTTGTAAAAAATATCCAAGATTTGAGTGAGATTTCTACTATAAATTCAGCAGGACTCAGTTACCCTTTGCATGAGAATGAAGAAGGCAGTCTCAGGAAAGGATATAGTTAGATGATTTACAGTATCCTCAGATGAGCTTTAGGCAAGATAAGAAGTACGTTTATAGTTGTTTATATAAGGCAGTTCTAATTTATGAGGTCTAACCGATAAATTAGAGATGTGTTTTATCTCCTTTAGGGATAAAACACATACCACATTTGAAACACAAGTAATTTGAGAGAAAAAAGTAAAAGTACTGAATTTTATCAGGAAACAAGAAAAAATCTGAATCCTCAAACCAGATAAGTTTCTAATACTTATAGTGGTATTACATATTCCAAGTAATATCATTGTCAATTTATTTTGTATTTGAGGTGGGCTCTCATAATATGCTAAATGTGTTGTGAGGGAATTTTTGTGTTAGGGCATTTGAATGAAGCAGAATGCCTCCCATTACCATTTGAAAAATATCCCACATGCAGTGCATGTCTGCCTTCTCTTATCCATTGTCCTTTACATTTTTTTTTTAACAGTTTATTATAATTTATTTAACAATCTAAGAAGTTCGCAGCCATCAGCAGTTCTAGTGCTATATTTCAGGTGCAGTTGGGAGTTTGGGAACTTGGTGGCGCTGTTAGTGTAGCGAACTTTGTATGTAAAATACATGCATACTTTTGATAGCACATGTGAAGGTATCTCTCTAAAATTGACCTCATTGGTTTCATTCTCAGCAAACTGACCTGGGCCACTCATGGCTTTTATCGTGTCTGATGTTAATGCATGTTCTCTTTTTACCATAAATTCATGGTCATCAGATGATATCAATTTCACATACTTGGCATCAGGGCCTTAACAGCCACCACAGGTTTTCTCTTCTCCATCCATTTTTTTTTTTTTTTTCTTAAGACGGAGTCTTGTTTTGTTGCCCAGGCTGGAGTGCAGTGGCGCAATCTCAACTTACTGCAAGCTATGCCTCCCAGGTTCACGCCATTTTCCTGCCTCAGCTTCCCGAGTAGCTGGGACTACAGGTGCCCTCCACCACGCCCAGCTAATTTTTTGTATTTTTAGTAAAGACGGGGTTTCACTGTGTCAGCCAGGATGGTCTGGATCTTCTGACCTCATGATACGCCTGTCTCGGCCTCCCAAAGTGCTGGGATTACAGGTGTGAGTCACCGCGGCTGGCCTCTCTCCATCCATCTTGTTTATATGAAATGCTACTGTGCTTCCCCAGGAACTTCAGTAGTTTCCCGGTGAGGCGAGGATGCAGAGTGTGTCACTCACTTCCTTCTGGAGAAGTGTCCTTTACATATTTTAGTGAATTAGAGATAGTATGTTTTACTTCTACATCTCCTGGCAAAAATTTAGCAGTATGGAAAGAGTTTTTGTGTGTGTTTGTGCTGTTTGTTTTTACAGCAGCTAAATGCAAATTATTTTTTAAGTTTTGTCAGTGCCTATAATTAACTTTTGTTCTTGTCAGATAAAATTCTAATGAGATTATCTGAAAGAAGACTTGTATAAAATTTCTATATGGCTTATGCTTATGCTGGATTACTGGTTTTATGTGTTTGTTTTGCAACTAAAGAGTTAATTTGGGTTATAAATGTCTCGTTGGGTATTAAGTGCTATGATACAATTTGCCAAGGTTTGTAAATAAAATAATTGGCACAAACATGAGCACTTAAATCATTCAAACAAAGTTGAACATCTCTCATAGTATCATGCGTTATGTTTAAATGTTTTCTAAAGGCTACTATTTATATGTAGTTTTTCATTCAGTATTAAAGAACGAAAGCACTAGATCTCTGATATGTAGTTTTAGACCCATTTATTTTATTAAAAATTAATATAAATTTAAAGCCAGTACATGCTAGGATTGAAGATTATCATGTTCTTTACTTATACTAAAGTATACCCCAAAAGCATTTTGTTTGCTAGTGAAGTCATTATTTTTACTTAAGAATATAAATACTGCTTTTTTTTAATAGCACTTCCTAGTCTTTTTAGATTAAGAAGATATACCGTAACTTCTTGCACCACTCACTGCGTTTCTGTACTCATAATAGATACGAAGGTATGATATGATTAGAATTACTAGGTCGTCTTATAGTAACTTCCCTTGAGATCAGAAATCTTCATCAAGGCCTGTCACAGGTGTAATGAGAAAGCTTAATTAAAAAATGTCTTGAAGTTTTGTTTTTAATCTGGGGTCAACATACCTTTTCAACCAACATGGGATTCCCTGAAGTTTAATGTAAAACTTTGCGTGAATGTACCTTTTTATTCCAGAGGAGAAAGACTGGTTTTCACAAGATCTCAGAATGGTTCATGAGCTTAAAATGATTAAGAATAACTGGATCAGTGCACGTATTCTCATGCTTAGTTTTGTAATTGCTATAACAAAGAACTGAGTGCCACCAAGAGGCAACCTTAATATGTTACGTTTTGCTTTTGCCTTATTGAATTTTTAATTTAAAGTGAAATTGTATCCATGTTGATTATGTGTCCCCCTTTTCTCCCATTGTTTAATGTATTTACAGTGCATTGTAACAGAAGATGGCAATCAGCATGTATATAAGAAACTCTGTCTGTGTGCTGGAGCTAAACCAAAGTTGATATGTGAAGGAAATCCTTACGTATTAGGAATCCGTGATACAGATAGTGCTCAGGTAACATTTTAAGGTTGAATCATGGGAAGGAAAATAAAAGACTTTTCTACATTCGAATTAAACTGTTCCACTTATGATTCCTAAATTATAATGGCAGAAGGGAATTTTGTTTCATGACCAATAAACCACAGAGTGGTTATGTTTTATTCCCACCAATTTTTCTTTCTTTTTTTTTTTTTTTGAGATGAGTCTCCCTGTCACCCAGGCTGGAGCTCAGTGGAGCGATCTCAGCTCACTGCAAGCTCTGCCTCCTGGGTTCACACCATTTTCCTGCCTCAGCCTCCTGAGTAGCTGCCATTACAGGCGCCTGTCACCACGCTCAGCTAATATTTTTTTGTATTTTTAGTAGAAACGGGGTTTCACCACATTAGCCAAGATGGTCTCGATCTCCTGACCTCGTGATCCGCCTGCCTCGGCCTCCCAAAGTGCTGGGATTACAGGCATTAGCCACCGCGCCCGGCCTATTCCTGTCAATTTATTTGTTTTTAGTTGATATTATGTTTTTAAGTTCATGCTGATGTGTTATCAGCGTGAGATAACCCAGATATAATGACTCTGCTGAATATTAACAACTTGCAGTACACACACATTCATTACTCTACTTTGGGAATATGTGATTTGCAGCCTAAATAATATAACACATACATGCCACATTTGAAACACAAGTTTTTTCCAAAAAGGTAAAAGCAATTCAAAAATTACGGATCTTATTCTCCAGCAAAAAAATTTCAAAAGATCTTTGTGGTACAAAATCATGATAGAATCATAGAACAGAAAAAGTCACTTGACTTATTGTTCTGCCCTAGATAAACTGTCCCAATAAGGTGAAACATCTGTATTTGGAGCATTATATAACTTCCTTTTGGTAATTTAATTCAGGGCTTATTAACCCTTATTGCCAAGAAGCTCTTCCTGGTTTCACAATACTATGTCTAGCCTCATGTTTGTTGTTCTGTCTCGTGACATGATGATTTTGCATTAATATAATTTATATTCTGAAAAATTAATAAGGTTTTCTTTCAGCCTATTTGTCTCTTAATTAAATCATTAGGAATTGAGAGAAAATTTAAAGGAACTTGATTATCTTCTTGTAAACAATTTAAGTTCATATTATCAGAGATTGAGCTCATAACTGTTTCAGCTAGGTCTTCTACATACATGAACTCATTGAATCCTCGTGATAATCCTGTGTGACGATTATTACTCTCACTTTACAAATAGGAAACTGAGATTGAGAGATTAATTATGTGTCTGTACTAATTTAGCTATTAAGTTTATCAGATACACAATTTAAACTTGTGCTTTTCACCTCTAGGTCCTAGTGCTCTTATAGGTCTTTCTTAAATTGCAATATCCTCAATGAAGGACAAACTAAAATAAACTTCAGTGGTTTTTTTTCTTGGAGAATTTCAAAGATATCAGCTTCAGTGAATATTATAAGTTTGGAGATAATAGAAACTTAGTAGGAGGGGGGAATTTTTCTGTTCAGATGTCATTTTGAAGCAATGAGACTATTCTATACTTTCGAAAGTGCCCAAAGAATTACCACTGGCTTCTGTAAGCTCATTGTGGTCTTTTTTTCTGGAGGGTGGAGGCATCAATTTATCTCTCTTAGAATGTTAATAACATTTTTTTTTCCCGTAAATGTTTGACATTATTGTGCACCTGCTACTCCTACCGACTTTGTCTGTATCATCTCACGTAATCTTTACAGAAGCATCAGGATATATAGTCACTTATCATTTCCATTTATTTGTGGGGTTTTTTTGGTATTTTTTTTTTGAGACAGGGTCTTGCTCTATCACCCAGGCTGGAGTGCAGTGGCGCGATCTCAGCTCACTGCAAGCTCTGCCTCCCGGGTTCACGCCATTCTCCTGCCTCAGCCTCCTGAGTAGCTGGGACTACAGGCACCCGCCACCACGCCCAGCTAATTTCTTTTTGTATTTTTAGTAGAGACAGAGTTTCACGGTGTTAGCCAGGAAGGTCTCAGTCTCCTGACCTTGTGATCCACCTGCCTCAGGCTCCCAAAGTGCTGGGATTACAGGCCTGAGCCACCGCGACCGGTGGATCATTTCTATTTGTAGTTGAAGGACCTGAGGTGCAGATAGGGTAAGCAACTTGCAAAGTCATTCAGTTAGTAATTGCTAGAGCCAGTGCTTCCAGAGTCTGCTCTTAACCGCTGTGCTGCTAAGCTTCTCATTCCTCATTCCTAGAAGTTTTGAGTGTTGAGTAACTCTAGGGAAACTGAGAGTCTAGGCAAAAAGAAAGAATAATTGATTTGGTCAAATAGTTGGGAATGTGGTAAGTTAATAGTGCCTCCTGCTGAAATTCTGAAGTACTGTAAATGTAATGACCTAAAAGGAAAGGAAAATCAGGAGAAGCATTGCTGTAAAAGCAGCTTGGGATAAAGTAGAAAAGGGAGCTTTTGTAATATTAATTGAGAGGATGTACCCTGATAGAGTGGGAAAGTGAGATTCATTTTTTTTTCTTTACAAATTCAATAAAATATTTACATTTTTAGAATATTATCATTGAAGCCTCTTATTTCAGATATTGCCCGCTATTACAAAATACTGCCTCATTATTTTCTTTTTAACATAGGAATTTCAGAAACAGCTTACTAAAGCTAAAAGAATAATGATCATAGGGAACGGTGGTATTGCACTTGAGTTAGTGTAAGTATATATTTTTAAATATAACATATTTAAATTGTTTAAAAATCATTTGTTTTTAAATTTAACAGTTGCTTTGTGATTCATGTGATTTGTTGGCAGACTGGAAAATGTTTTTTATTCTGAAAATCAAAGATAAATATAATTTTCATACATTTTCAAGGGGAAAAATTCACCTTTTTATTTTTAGCTTTTGTGGACTCCATAATTGTAGAAATTTTATTATAAAATATATATGTTTTGGGAATGCTTTAGGTCTCAAGGTGGTTGGCCAAATTTGGCCCCTAAATGTGTTTTATAAGTATATTCTATGTTTAAAAATAATTTAAGCCGGGCGCGGTGGCTCAAGCCTGTAATCCCAGCACTTTGGGAGGCCGAGACGGGCGGATCACGAGGTCAGGAGATCGAGACCATCCTGGCTAACACGGTGAAACCCCATCTCTACTCAAAAAAAATACAAAAACTAGCCGGGCGAGGTGGCGGGCGCCTGTGGTCCCAGCTACTTGGGAGGCTGAGGCAGGAGGATGGTGTAAACCCGGGAGGCGGAGCTTGCAGTGAGCTGAGATCCGGCCACTGCACTCCAGCCTGGGCGACAGAGCGAGACTCTGTCTCCAAAAAAAAAAAAAAAAAAAAAAAAAATTTAAATATTTGCACCTTTTGAGATTTCTAGTGATAACCCTCACCACTTTTTTTTTTTTTTTTTTTGAAACGGAGTCTCGCTGTGTCGCACAGGCTGGAGTGCAGTGGCGCGATCGCGGCTCACTGCAAGCTCCGCCTCCCGGGTTCACGCCATTCTCCTGCCTCAGCCTCCCGAGTAGCTGGGACTACAGGTGCCGCCCGCCACCTCGCCCGGCTAGTTTTTTGTATTTTTTAGTAGAGATGGGGTTTCACCGTGTTAGCCAGGATGGTCTCGATTTCCTGACCTCGTGATCCGCCCGTCTCGGCCTCCCAAAGTGCTGGGATTACAGGCTTGAGCCACCGCGCCCGGCCACCCTCACCACTTTTTATTGCTTATATGATAAATCCTGCTTCACACATTCATGTTACCTGTCTGGCCAGTGTAACCTAGAATATTTGTGACTCCTGTTTTAGGATATGTGGTTCTTCCAGCTCTTGGTTATTGGTGGCTTAGGAAATGTGAACACATTAATTAATATGAAATATTTTCATCTTAAGATGACATTACAAGTTCAAAAACCATTGAGAAATATCCCGCTGTGGCCTGCAGAAGACTGATTCACTTCATGATTTTATCCTCTAGCAGATGATTGACATGAAATAGTCTGGATCTTTTTCAGGCCATAAAGTTGGGTCAGACCACAAAGAGGACAAATTTGAATCAAAATAAGGACTCTTCCAAAGCCATATCTATGCTCACTTGCATTCAATCCAACTCTCAGACTAGGTTTTTGCCCCGCTTTTAGAGGATGATCTGACCAAGTGGAAGCCTGTAGGAGTTCTTAAATTGCCTGAGTACTATAGGTAGCAGTCATTATTGTTGTTATGAAGTTTGTGGCATTGTATGTAGAAATACAGAGAAAGGGTCAAAACCAAAATGTGGGCCAAGAGGGAAGAGGTATAGATTTATTGTAAATGGGGTTTCAAATCCATGTGTATAATATATACATGACAGGTTTTCTCCATCAGCTATCACCAAAGTATCACTATTATTGTAACTGTCATTATTTACATTTAAAAATTTTATGTTCAGAAATGTTCAGAGTCTTACATTTAATCCGATTCATCATTTTCTTTAAGTTGGAGATTGAAGACAGTATAATTGGATAAAACTTATAATTTTGTATTTAGTAAGCTCTTCTTTGATAAATAAAAATGGACCCACATAATGTTATTCTCTGACTTTAGGTCTGCTAAATGATTAGGTCTTTGTCTGTCATGAAACTTGGCATATTCATACCCTTTCTACACTGTGTTTCAGTGAAAGTAATACTCATGTTCTTCATTATACATTTTTTTCAGTTATTATCTGTTTTCTTGTTTCTAAGTGTAAGTTAATCCTTTCCTTTTCAAACAGATACTGTTTTTCATAACTTCACAAAACTGCAATACCTCATTGTCTGTTTTTGTAGAGTCATTTTAAAAATGAAAGCATATTTCCCCTCTGTATGTGATGATGATCGTCAAACTTGTGCATCTTGCATAGTTCAAGTTAGGAAAAGAGGATTAGAAGGTGTCTTAAGAGGTAGAGCAAGTACTGAAGTTTCTTGTGGTTGCTTGTAATAACTTCGTCTGCTAGTCAGTCATCAGTATGTTAAACTACACTGATAGGTGTTGTAATATTACTTTAAATTTAAAAATGGTAATACAAATTCCCAGTTTATCAAAAAGAAAGCATTACATGATAACTATATGTCTGTATGTGAATTGAAATACAAACTTTTTTTACCAAATGTGTGTGTATTCCACTTTCCACTGGTCAGTAATGCTATATGACAGACTAACATAAAATTGAATGTTCACCCACTAATCTGAAATTTGGTGACTAAATGTTTACTGACATGGGAGAGCTGGAAAAGTAAAGACTTATTAGATGAAGCAAGGAGCTCCTTATCACCATATGTTGAAAAGTATGAATATCAAGTGACCTGGATTCAGATGTACTAAACCCTTTTTCTGTAATCTGTTTATTGATTAGTTTTGAAAAGTTGTATAACCTAACTATGTTATATCAGTCTGCAAAATAAAGATGGCAGTACTTTGTACCGTAAAGAAATGTGAAAAATTAATACCTTAACTTTTTAATTACAGTATTTTATTAGTATTGCAAGTTTAGATAAAATCCTATTATAGTTAGGATGGCCAATATATCTTGTTTGACTGGGATTGTCTCCATTTCCACCAATTGTACCAAAAATGACTATTAGTAGCAGATAGTATACCAAGTTAGATGGTAAATTATATGATCACCTTAATTATAATGGACTTCAGGGACTTTGTGAAACGAATATTGTTAGGAAAACCACTTCTCAGTATCTAAACCTTCAATAAAATATCACATGCCCATTACCTTACATTAGTGGTAAATAGTAATAGAAGGTGGCTTATATATACCATGTCCATTCGTTCCTTCCTCTAAGATCCTTGATCTTGATCCTTAAGATTTTTAGCTTATAACTCTGATTCTCTCCATTTTCTGTCTCCTTCCACAATGTGCTTTGAAGATACAAAAAGTCGTTACCAAATAAGTGACTGATTCTCAATGTTATAGCTATGTACCATCCATCCATTACTGATTACACTATAACCAGAGTTTTTAAAAAGCACTGCTTACCCCTGGGGGCCATTCATATAATAAGTGTGTTGTAGAAATTGAACATTTTCTAATGATGTACATTGTAATGAAATTACATGTATTTGTCACTTAATACATATTCATATTCAGTAAATGTATTTGTCACCTAAAGGTTCTTTCTGTAAACAGCTTTAGTTTCTTTTACTATTCTATTTTTCTTAGTATCTTTAAAGAACGTTAATATTCCTCTTTGTAATCAGTTTTTTCCAGTTTGCCTTAAAAATGTGTTCCCTGCTTTTACTTCAGGAGATCATTATTTGCAAATACAAAGATTTTTTACTTAGACTTTTGAAATTACTCTTAGTAACTTCAATATTGTTTTAGGTATGAAATTGAAGGCTGTGAAGTGATTTGGGCCATTAAAGATAAAGCTATAGGGAATACTTTCTTCGATGCAGGAGCAGCTGAATTCTTGACTTCAAAGCTCATTGCTGAAAAACCAGAGGCTAAAATTGCACAGAAAAGAACCAGATATACAACTGAAGGTAAGCGTAGCACCTAGCTCTTAATTCTCATACAAAACTTTGTTTTAACCATATAGAAAAGGGCTACAAGAAAATTTAATAAAACAAATTTTGGAAATAGTAATATGGGTATTTATGTATCTTTACATGAAGTTTTCAGATTTTCTATTATATATATTTTATATATGTATGTATTTTATATGTACAATTAAAATAAGAAATTTAAAATGAATAACTCAGCCCATCTGCATCTTTGCAAAGAGATGCTACATTTGGGCAACACCTAAAGAAGTTTTGTAAAAAATGCAATGATAATATAAACATATTTTTTAAGTTTGATGTCTTTAAAAAATTTTTAGATCATAAAATTAAACGAGTTTTGTACATTTTGGAGGTGCTAAAAATTGACAAAATTACAAAAATTCGAAGGCTAATTTTCTTGCCCTTCAGATTAACCAATGTAACATCCAAAATGTAAGTTGAGTGTGTTTATACACAACTTACACAGTTGAAAGAGTATCCATTTTGTAACTCTCCATCAGAAAAATATTAAAATAATGACTAAAATGATTAATAGAGGTAACATAGTTTAGTCATGCTGTAATGTATGTATATATATGAATCGTTACGTTGCCTAAATAAAAAACTTCAGAACACTAACCTATTTCTCTACCTGGTAATTTTTATATTATTTAATTTCATCTCTTTAGGAAGGAAAAAGGAAGCTAGAAGCAAATCTAAAGCAGATAATGTAGGCAGTGCGTTGGGACCAGATTGGCATGAAGGCTTGAATCTTAAAGGAACAAAAGAGGTATCTTTTCATATACTGACTGGACATGTCAAAATGTAATTTTAAATTCTTGAACCATTTATTAAAGACTGGTTATAGATATATAGTCAATGAACTGCTAGGTCACTTTACTCAAAATCGATAGTGCTAGGAAGAGACTTCCAATCCAGTTGGTCCATTTGGCCACCAAAGAAAAGTGAATGTCAAAGCATCTAAGACTGGATCTCAGCCTGCGTTTTAACTCGTGAGGTGTGATACTGTAATATATATACGGTCATTCCTTGGAGTATTGCAGGTTCAGTCCCAGACCATCACAGGAAATAAAATATCACAATAAAGTGAGCCACATGAATTTTTCAGTTTCCCAGTGCATACAACAGTTAGATTTATAACATACTGCAGTCTATTAAATGTGCATTAGCATTATGTCTAAAAAAACAATGCACATACCTTAATTTAAAGGTACTTTATTGCTTAACATGCTGGCAATCATCTGAGCTCAACAAATCATAATCTTTTTGTTGGTGGAAAGTTTTGCCTCAGTATTGGTGGCTGATGACTGATCAGGGTGGTGCTTGCTGAAGGTTTGGGTGGCTGTGGCAATTTCTTAAAATAACAAGGAAGTTTGTCCCATCAGTTGACTCTTCCTCTCATGAAACATTTCTCTGTAGCATGTGAAGCTGTTTTATAGCATTTTGCCCAGAGTAGAAGTTCTTTCAAAAGTCAATTCTCTCAAACTCTGCTACTGCTTTATCAACTAAGTGTATGTAATACTTTAAATCCTTTATCATTTCAACAATACTCATAGCATCTTCACTAGAAATAAACTCCATCTCAGATAAGTACGTTCTTTGCTCATCCATGAGAAACAACTCCTTATCTTTTCAAATTTTATCATGAGATTGCAGCAATGTAATCTCATCTTCAGGATTCACTTCTAATTATAGCTCTTTTATTATTTCTACCACGTCTACCTTTCTCCATTGAAATCTTGAACCCCTCAAAGTCATCCATGAAGATTGGAATAAACTTTTTTCAAGCTCTTGTTAATGTTGATATTTTGACTTCCTCCCTTGAATCATGAATGTTCTTAATAACATCTAGAATGGTGAATTCTTTCCAGAAGGTTTTCAATTTACTTTTCCCAGATCCATCAGATGCCTCACCCTTTGTGGCAGCTATAGCCTTATGAAATGCATTTCTTTAATAAGACTTGAAAGTAAGAATTACTCCTGGATCCATGGGCTGCAGAATGGATATTGTATTAGCAAGCATGAAAACAACATTCATCTCTTTGTGCATCTCTGTCAGAATTCTTGGGTGACCAAGTACCTTGTCAATGAGTGTAATATTTTGAAAGGAATCTTTTTTTTCTGAGCAGTAGGTCTCAATGGTGGGCTTCAAAGATTCAATAAACCATGTAAACAGATATGCTGTGTATTACTGCATTTTCACAGTATTATAAAGAAATACCTGAGAGTGGTAATATTTATAAAGAAAAGAGGTTTAATTGGCTCATGGTCCCACAGGCTGTACAGGAAGCATGACTGGGGAGGCCTCAGGAAACTTCAATCATGGGGGAAGGGGAATTAGGCACATCTTACATGGCCAGAGCAGGAGGAAGAGAGAGAAAGGGGCTGGTGCCGCACACCTTTAGACAACCCGATCTCATGAGAACTCTATCATGAAAACCATTAAGGATGGTGCTAAACTATTAAAAACTGTCCCCATGATCCAGTCACCTCCCACCAAGCCGTACCTCCAACACTGGGGATTACAATTTGATATGAGATTTGGGCGGAGAACCAGACCGAAACCATATCATGCTGTCATCCAGGCTTTGTTGTTCCATTTATAGAAGACAGGCAGGGTAGATGTAGTAAAGTTCTTAAGGGCCCTAGAACTTTCACAGTGGTAAATAGGCATTGGCTTCAACTTCAGATCACCAGTTACGTTATCCCCTAACAGGAGAGTCTGCCTGTCCTTTGAAGCCAGGCATTGACTTCTCTATAGCTGTGAAGGTCCTAGATAGCATCTGTTTCCACTAGAAGGCTGTCATGTACACTGAAAATCTATTGTTTAGTGTAGCCACATTAATCAGTTATCAATTGTATTTTTTTGTTGTGGAGATGCTTCTTTCCTTAAACCTCATGAACCAACCTCTACTAGCTTCAGCCTTTTCTTCTGCAGCTTCCTCACTTCTCTCAGCCTTGACAGAATTGAGAACAGTTAGGGGCTTACTCTGGGTTAGGCTTTGGCCTAGGGGAATGTTGCGGCTAGTTTAATCTCTCCACACCACTAAAACTTTCTCCATATCAGCAAGAAGACTGTTTCGCTTTCTCCTCATTCATGTGTTCACTGGGTTACCAGTTTAGATTTACTTCAAGAATGTTTCCTTTGCATTCACAATTTGGCCAGCTGTTCAGTGCAAGAAGCCTGACTTTCCACATGCCTTCCGCAATAAGCCTAATAATCATTGCTAGCTTTTGATTTAAAGTGAGAGATATGTGATCCTTCCTTTCACTTGAACGCTTAGAAGCCACTACAGAGTAACTGATTGCCCTGGTTTCAGTATTATTGTGTCTCTGGGAATAAGGAGGCCCAAGGAGAGGGAGAGACATAGGACAACAGCTGGTTGATGGAGCAGTCAGAACACAGAACATTTATCGATTAAGTTCACTGTGTTAGGTGGGTGTGGTTCATGACACCCCAAGACAATTACAATAGTACATCAAAGATTACTAATCACAGATCACCATAGAAGATCCAATAATGATGACAACTGTGAAATACTGCAAGAATTACCAAAATGTGACAGAGACACAAAATGAGCACACGCTATTGGAAAAATGGCACCAATAAGACTTGCTTGATGTGGGGTTGTCACAAACCTTCAATTTGTAAAAAACACACTGTCTGTAAAACAATAGTGAAGTGCAATAAAATATTATGCCTGCAGGTTTCTGGCACACAGCTCCTAAACTTTTTGGCATCTCCAAAGTGTTGTGTCCTTTTGTATGCTAACGAGTTGACTGGTTAGCCCCTAGGTGGCTTCAGAATGGGGACTGGTCACAGGAAAGACCAAGGCATGATTAGAGAATTTAGACTTTTCAACCCCCAGGAAAGGAAAGGGGTTGAAGGGTAAGCCAATCACTAGCAGTCAATGATTTAATCAGTCACCTACATAACACAGTTTCCATGAAAACCCAAAAGGACTGGGTTTGGAGAGCTTCTGGATAGCCGAACGTGTGGAAGTTGCTAGAGGGTGGTCTATCTGGAGAGAGCATAGAAGCTCCATGCCCCTTCTTATATGCTTTGCCCTATGTATTTCTTCCTCTGTTTCCTCGTGACATCCTTGATAATAAACCAGTAAATGTAAGTGAAGTGTTTCCCCAAATTCTGTGAGATGTTCTAATAAATTAATTGAACCTAAGAAAGGGGCTCATGGGAGCCCCTTGATTTGTAATTGGTTAGTCAGACGAACTGGTGAAACACCCGGGACTTGCAGTTGGTATTGGAAGTAGAAGACAGTCCTGTGAGATTGATCCCTCAACATGTGGGACCTGATGCTATCTCCAGGTAGATAATAACATCAGAACTGAATTGAATTAGAGGACAGCCAGATGGTGTCCTGTGCAGAATAAGTGCTTGCTTAGTGTGTAGAAAACACCCCACGCATTTGGTCGCAGAAGTATCCTGTGTTGTGAGAGTATAGTAGGAGAAACTAAGTTTGTTTTTTCCTGTATCCTCAGATCAGGGATAGAACTCTTTATACCCAGACTGCAGTGAATACACCTGCCCTATTTTAAATTAATCTTTTCTCAAAGGTCATTTCAGATGCATGCAGTAAACTTATAAAAGTTATTAGATTGATTAGAAATATACACTTAATATCCTAATTGGATAAGGAGATGATTTGCTTTTCCTCGTTTTGTTAGATATTTTGATTTTGTAATAGTTGTTAAAAGGCTGTGAAAACTAAATGTTGTAAGAAGCATGTATGCAGTCCTTAGTTACTGTGTGTGGTTTCTTTAGAGCATTGGTTTTTGGCTTTCAGTAGGTGGGAGGGGGGCTGGCTGCATAGTGTATCTAATTTACGTGATGGAAATTATACAAAGTCCCTTCTTTCTGCACCTTCAGATTCCAATATTAATTATATTTTTAACCTGAGGACTTCAACAGTTTAATTCAGTAAGCATTTATTTAGTACTTACTACCTACTTGGGACTTTATTAATGTTCAGGGATATAACAATAAGTCAAGACAGATCTGACCTGAATAAATTTTTATAGTCCATAACTTTTTTTTTTTTTTTTTTTTTTTGAGACAGAGTCTCGCTCTGTCGGCCAGGCTGGAGTGCTGTGATATGATCTCGGCTCACTGCAACCCGCCTGGGTTCAAGCGATTCTCCTGCCTCAGCCTCCCGAGTAGCTGGGACTACAAGCACACGCCACTAGGCCCAGCTAATTTTTTAATTTTAGTAGAGACAGGGTTTCACCATATTGGTCAGGCTGGTCTCAAACTCCTGGCCTCAGGTGATCCACCCACCTTGGCCTCCCAGAGTGCTGGTATTATAGGCATGAGCCACTGTGCCCAGCAACTACTGTAATTAAAAAAATATATATTTGTAATTATCAATGAGGCCTAGACTAAAAAACATTGCCTCGATGCTGTCTGCTAATGCAGATACCAAATCTCTTAAGTTACTGAATGAATTTTCGTTCACTCCTTTCATGTGCATAAAGAGACTTATTTTAGGGCAGTCAATGTGTTTTCATTTGTATTATAAGAATTATGCTTTCTATATGTTTCTACAAGTATAAGTTTTTTCTTCATCATTAGTAACCCAGGTCACTCTTTCTGGAAGTATTATGCTAACTAGTATTTTCTTAATGTTAGTTTTCTCATAAGATTCACCTTGAAACTATGTGTGAAGTAAAGAAAATCTACCTTCAGGATGAGTTTAGAATTTTGAAGAAAAAGTCCTTCACTTTCCCGAGAGACCCTAAGTCAGTTACAACTGATACAGGCAAGTAATGAAAGAAGAAGAAATATATATAACCACTTAATTAAAAGGAAAGCAATTTAATCCTGCTGTGTTATATATTAAACATAACTTCATATTTCCATATAAAATTTAAACATGAAAAGTAAAGACCATAATGTAATAACATTCACTTCATTTCACTATCCGTTGTTTTCTAGTAAATTAAACTGTGTAGGGCATTATATCTTACATAGAGTTCATAGTGTTTTGATCAACAATCAGAATATATTGTAAATCCAAATAAAACAATAACTTGCAGCTCTTAAAGGTGACATGATTTCACCCAAATCGGATTGAAAATGTATATTTTGGGGACTAAGATGCAGCTTTCCTAACTCCAATTCCACAACTCCTCTGAGAATTGCCATGATTTGAAGAAATACACTCAGTGAACTAGCATATGAAATATTCTACTGTTCTGAATTCTTCATATTTTTCCATAGGAAAGGGGAATTTGAATAGGAATAGTGAGGGAAAACACCCAGTTGAACTAAACACGAGGTGGCGTGTAAAGTATTATGAAAGATTTTAAGAGAAATAATTTAAATTTACTTTGTCAAAATGTATGTGTCCAAATTTGAAGGAAAAACATTTGAAATGCCATGGTTTTAAAATTATACCCAAACAAGATGATGTCAATTGCATTAAAATTGCTTTAGCAAATATGCCTCATAAGAATTACTAAGGAGTGTGCTACAAAGTCATCTCTTGCCTACCTTTTACTTTCTTTCTTTGTTTCTAGTCATTGTAGTCACATGCGCTGCTGTGGTGGTGGTTCCACTTGCAGATAAAGTCTGTTTTTCTTTTTTTTCTTAAAGAGATGTGGCCTGTCTATGTGGAATTGACCAATGAAAAGATATATGGCTGTGATTTCATTGTCAGTGCTACAGGAGTTACACCAAATGTAGAACCTTTTCTCCATGGTAACAGTGTAAGGTGAAACTTCTTTGTCCAGCTGTGAATATATTTGAAGTATTTTTGTGAAGATCTTTAGTTCTCAAACATGAATAATAATTATTTTAGTATACAACTGTAACTTGATATGGTTGAAAACAGTTTGGTTAAAACATTGTCTTGGCCGGGCGCGGTGGCTCAAGCCTGTAATCCCAGCACTTTGGGAGGCCGAGATGGGCGGATCACGAGGTCAGGAGATCGAGACCATTCTGGCTAACAGTGAAACCCCGTCTCTACTAAGAAATAAAAAAATAGCCGGGCGAGGTGGCAGCGCCTGTAGTCCCAGCTACTTGGGAGGCTGAGGCCGGAGAATGGCGTGAACCTGGGAGGCGGAGCTTGCAGTGAGCTGAGATCCGGCCACTGCACTCCAGCCTGGGCTACAGAACGAGACTCCGTCTCAAAAAAAAAAAAACATTGTCTTGATTTACAGTATTTCTTACTGCTTAAAATCCTCACATAGTTACATCCTGGCATAAGCGTCATCAGTAATGGTTTATAATGTACAATTTGTTTATCTAAATGTTGGTAAGAGACTGACGCCTCCTGTGACTTCTCAAAAGTGATTCTTTTAGAGAAACCATCTTGTATTTTTTGCTTTTCAACACTTGAAGCTTACAAAAGAAAAAAAAAAGAATATTCTTATAGTTATGGGTAGGGTAGCAAGATGGTTATTGGATACTTTTCATGTTGAAATTCTAAGAATTTTATGGATCAATCTTAGTTGGAATTTGATCCATGGAAATTCGGCTGACGCGTCTCTAAACTTTGTGGCTATTTTTCATTTTCTCATTAAAGATGAGCATGCCAAAGTGTAACAGTTTAATTTGTTTTTACCTTAGAATGGAAAAAATCATGTTTCTTTTTATTTATTTTTTTACCACTAACGCTTACGGGGAACATTGTTTAGTTTAATCTAGGAGAAGATGGTGGCCTGAAAGTGGATGATCATATGCACACATCCGTTCCTGATGTCTATGCTGCCGGTGACATCTGTACTGCATCCTGGCAGCTGAGCCCAGTCTGGCAGCAGGTAAGCTAGCATATGTGATCATGTTTTTATCAGAGATTCTGTCTGAAAATAAAGCGGTTGTTACCAACAAATCCAACTTCTGGTTTTCCAACTTTGCTGCTTAAGTGGGAAGCTAGCAGAGAGTTGTTATATATATTAAAAAAAAAAAAAAAAAAACTAGAATATTTCCCTGTTTGGTAAGTTATTATAATGGTAGATTGGGCTATCTTTTAATTTAAAGGAAATTATGGGCTGTCACTTTGTTTTTCATTCTTACGTGCTTGTCAGCACTGTCCAGGAGAACTTTTTGTGATGATAGAAATGTTTAATTCTGCACCATCCAGTCAGGTAGCCAGCAGTATATAACATGAGCAATTGAAATGTGGTTAACGTGACTGAGGACCTGAATTTTTATTTTTACTTACTTTTCATTAACTTTAAATAGCTATATGTGGCTAGTGGCTACCATGTTGGACAGCACAACTTTAGATTTAAAAAACTACTAAGATTGTAAATTATATAGATAAAGCATTCTATTCCTGGATGATCCTATTCTGTCCCTGTGGTAATTATTACTACAAAATGTTCCTGGCCGGGAGCGGTGGCTCACGCCTATAATCCCAACACTTTGGAAGGTCGAGGCAGGTGGATCATCTGAGGTCAGGAGTTCGAGACCAGCCTGAACAACATGATGAAACCCTGTCTCTACTAAAAATACAAAAAATTAGCTGGGCACGGTGGCATGCGCCTGTAATCCCAGCTACTCGGGAGGCTGAGGCAGGAGAATCACTTGAACCTGGGAGGCGGAAGTTGCAGTGAGCTGAGATCACGCCACTGCATCCCAGCCTGGGCAACAAGAGCAAAACTCCGTCTCAAAAAAAAAAAAAAAAAAAAAAAGTTCCTGTCGTAAACACCTTTCCTGAGCCTTAACAAGTCCCAACTAGATCCAGACTTTTTCGAACCCTCACAGCTTTACCTACGTCCTCCTAACGGTGGAACAAAAATACTAGAGGAAGATAAAGACAGTGACCAGAGGTGTGCAGAGGGGTAGAGACCTAGGTAGATGTTTGAGATAAAGGAACCCTGCAACATTTATCTTTGTTAAAGACCAGCTCCACAATGAGGGACTTTATTCATTCAGATTAACTATGCAGTGTGAAGTAGTAGAAGAGCTAAAAGTATTTCAAGAGGCAGCACCATCATTTTGTGTTCTTACAGGCAGTAGAGACATCAGTCGTAGGAGAGTGGTTGCAGCCTTTTTGTTTCTAACCTGCCCCATTCTATGTCATTTCTGTGGCAAGACTATCACAAATTCTTAGAGTTGGAATTTGTGGGGTTTTTTTTTTAACATTTTTAATTCTCCGGCGTAAATTATATCTTAATGTGTTATAATCTGAAAGAGGGAAAAAAAATCCAAAAATAAACAGATGTCCCTTGTTTTGAGTGCACCTTATAGACCCCATATCTTGGCTTACACAAGCAGTAAGGATACTAATTAGTTTACGCAGTTCAAGATGCAAATTTTCAGGCCACTTCTATTAGCTGTTCTCTAGTTGTAACTGTGCTCAGTTTTTTCTGACCTCCAGCCATAAACTGCCTTTCACTTTATCAAATCTATACCTTGTTTACAGAGGAGATTGAAAAAAAAATCTGTATCACTTCTGCTAGAAAGACTTAAAGCTCATGTCTATGATTATGATATTATTTCTGCAAACAAAAGATAGCATTAAGTATATATGCACATACAGGGAGGTAGAAGGAAACCAAGTGCTTATTAGAGGCCAGTCTATTTAATTCTCTCAGTAGTTACGGAGTAGGTAGTGTTATGTTTATGTTTCAGGTAAATGAACTGAGGCTCAAGAAAACTTAACTATATGTGTAGATCTGGTGATATTAAAATCCACCGTGACTTCCAAGATCAGTGTTCTTTTATACCAGGGAGTCTTAAAACTTTGTAGAAATAAAATAAAAATACAATAGAGGATAAATTGATACTGTCATACAAAACAATTTAAATGACTTCCCAGAATCAGTTGCTGAAATATTTATGTTATCCTGGGGTGAGGCACCAACAGTCTGTCTGACCACTGAGGTCAACAGCATGGCAGACCTTAACTAGTGCATAAAAGTGAAGGTTGCTGGAAAACAGAACAAATTCTTCAGTGATAATTTGACATCTCTATTAATGGTGATGACAAATTTTTGAAGAAAGGACTGGTTAATTAAAACATTTTTCTTACCTGGTATAGCTTAATATAGTTTCATAATATTTAATAGAAATGCTACTAAAACAGGCATGATTGGGTACCATCTTTTAATTTTAGAGGCAGTAATTTAGATAGAATTAACAAATACCAAAAATCAGTCTGATTAGTTGTCCATTGGTGACTGCTTCTGTGGCAAAGATGACAGAAGGACTCTCAAACATTGAACTCCTTTAAGTGAATTTACGAGGTTAAGATAACATTTTTCAAATACTGATCATGAAAAATGACATTGTGTAACATTTTTTCATTATTTCAGATGAGGCTGTGGACCCAGGCTAGACAGATGGGATGGTATGCAGCAAAGTGCATGGCTGCAGCGAGTTTAGGAGACTCCATTGACATGGATTTCAGCTTTGAACTGTTTGCTCATGTGACAAAATTTTTTAACTATAAGGTAAGATAGTTAAGCATATTAACGCCTTCTCTGCTTGTTAGTCTTACGACTATGGTAAATTGTCTAATTTTCTTGCTTGAATAAAAATGTACATAGTTTTAATCATCTTACAAAAAAATGACATTTTTCATTTCTTACAAACCAATACCTGGTATTATTGCTGGTCTTAATCCCTAATCATCTGATAATTATTATCCACCTTACTACTATTCTATTTTAGTTAAGAGGGGAAAAAATTTCTCTCCAGATCTGTTCCCCGTTGGTGCATTTTAAACTTTTACTTGTGATTCATCCTTTCTTTGTGAAGGGAACTAACAGCTATTGTACACAAAAATAAACCAAGTGCCTTCCTGTATGTATTATCTTATTCAGTCCTCTTTACATTACTCTGACGAAGGTTGTTTTGGGTTTCCCCCCCCCCTAATTTACAGAGGAGAAACATACTCAAAAGGCTCAGGGAAATTTTTTTTTTTTTTTTGAAGTCCCTTGTCCATGAGTCAATTGCTCATGAAGCTCGTCCGTTCACGCTTCTTGCCCAGCTCATTTAAACCCACCGCCCCTAATTTTTTTTTTTTTTCACATGTCTTCTATGTATCCACATCCCTCCAATGTATTAATAGTCCACTCAGGATTAAGTCTTTCATGAAAGTCTATTAGTTTGAATCAAACCAGACCCACCTTATATCACATCCTAATATTTTTATAGTTTTAATTCATAATTAACATTAATTACTAATATTAATTAATATTAATTACTAATAAATAACATTAATATTTCACTATATTCACCAGAATTTTTTAGTGTCAGTGTAGATTGTGTGGTGGTGTCATCTGTAGAATTAATGCATGCTATTCAAACATTTTCTTTGGGACTGTCCCCAATAACATTTTTAGTTATAAAATTTTGTGGCATCATTTTTCTGCTGGCTATTCTAACATGACACAAAATAACTACCCATTACATTTTCTGTTTGATACTCATGACAATAACCTTTTTATCTCTATACATAGGTTGTACTGCTGGGAAAATACAATGCACAGGGCTTAGGTTCAGATCATGAATTAATGCTGAGATGTACCAAAGGACAAGAGTACATCAAAGTCGTCATGCAAAATGGACGAATGATGGGAGCTGTCTTAATTGGTGAAACTGATTTAGAAGAAACATTTGAAAACCTAATCTTAAACCAAATGAATCTTTCATCATATGGAGAAGATCTGCTAGATCCAAATATTGATATAGAAGATTATTTTGACTGAAAATGGAATTTCTTCAAGAATCATATAAAGTTCCAGATGACACCAGAAGAATCACAAGTCAGTAAAATCAATGACTGCATTGAGTTAATGATGACCACACTGAAAATTACTGAAGTGATAATGGTATTAGTGGAAAAGTATAAAAACATAAATTCCAAATTTGAAATCAGTTCAAATAGTTTATTTATAATCTTTCCAATACAGCAGTGACCGCTTAGATAAAAATCTTAAGTTATTTATTTCTATGTTTTAAACATAAATATGTTTACTTGTGACTTAGCTTTGAAGCAACTTTAGCTAAGTTATCAACTTAGCCAAATGTACTCTAGTAGACTAGAACCATTCTTTGTGAAATGTCAAAATATGACTGTGGTTTCAGGAACTTTAAAATCGGTTTTATTTTACTTTAAATAGAGATGTAGCAGTATCTCATCTGCTAATATTTATAATGATGACTTACTCCTTTTTTGTTTGAATTGTACTTCTGGTTTTATAACCTGAAATCATCTTGTCCAACTCTAGCCCACGGGCCTAATGCAGCCCAGGACAGCTTTGAATGCAGCCCAACACAAATTTGTAAACTTTCTTAAAACATGAGATTTTTGCCGGGCGCGGTGACTCAAGCCTGTAATCCCAGCACTTTGGGAGGCCGAGACGGGCGGATCACGAGGTCAGGAGATCGAGACCATCCTGGCTAACACGGTGAAACCCCGTCTCTACTAAAAAATACAAAAAAACTAGCCGGGCAAGGTGGCGGGCGCCTGTAGTCCCAGCTACTCGGGAGGCTGAGGCAGGAGAATGGTGTAAACCCGGGAGGCGGAGCTTGCAGTGAGCTGAGATCTGGTCACTGCACTCCAGCCTGGGCGACAGAGCGAGACTCCGTCTCAAAAAAAAAAAAAAAAGATTTTCTTGCAATTTTTTTTTTAAGCTCATCAGCTATCGTCAGTGTTAGCGTATTTTATGTGCGGCCCAAGACAATTCTTCAGTGTGGCTCAGGGAAGCCAAAAGATTGGACATCCCTGATCTATGTATTTAACTTAAAGTATCACTCAGTGAGCCTCTGTCAGTATAATACTGTTTTCAAAAAGATAGTTATGTCAAAAGAAAAAAATATAGCTAAGTATATAAAGGCATAAAAAACTTAAGACAATTATATGAACTTATTCTCAAATATTTTACATATAAAGTGTTTTACATAAAAATTTTTCCCTTGTATTATACTGGAAAATTATATAATTCATGATCTCTAATTTTCAAACGTTCTCAAAAGTTTAGATCTTCAGAGTTAAGCTCTGAAAATATAGATCCATACATATAAAATATCAATGAAATTGCTTTAAAAATTAAACTTTTATCTAACTACAAAAATAATGGCATATACATGCATAAACCATCTTTAATTAGAAAATTTAGTAACGTTCATTTCAGGCATCATCAATTTTTCTTTTCTTAGCTCCTGTATTCTTAGAACCAGATTGCTGAAGCATGTTTGCAGCCTTCTTCTGGAAGTTGCCTGAATTTTTTTCCTCCATCTTTTTATCACCTTGTTCAGAATGACAAGTTTGAGATGATTCAGCCTACGAAAACAATAACAAAGCAAGCACCTTGGTAAAAATTCAGCCATTCAGTTTTCTCATGAGATTAAAGATTTCAAAATATTCTTTTTGTATCAGTTGGCTTTTTAAGTATACAGGGATCTAGTTTTTTTTTAATCTGCAAATGTCTATTCAAATATGAGCTCTATTTTGAATAAAAGGGGCTACATTGTGAGAGAAGTTCTAAAGACCTCAAATGTCCTGAGACAGTGGCACCTGACATGCTTTTGCAGACTTGATAATATTTGGTTTATAACAGTGGTTTTTAACCACTGGAACAGCAGAAACAGGCTTCTCAACTATTAATAATCACAACCAAATAAGAGCAGGGAGCATAACAAAATTAGATATTCAAATGGAGTCCTCCCATTCCCAGACACTGGAAACCCCTAGTTAATGTTAAAAGGCCAGTCTAAATTCTTTCACTTATATCTTTACAGAAAAGTATGTTTTCTCTCTTCCATACCCAGAAATCTAATCAGAAAACTGGACCTAGGGGATATGACAGAAAAGCATCCCATAGGCTTTAATATACTTTTAAAATATATAAAATATAATATACTTTAAATATATAAAACTGAAAATAGCCAGTTACCCTGAAAGAGTTCTGCGTGGACTTTGTCACTTGCATAGTAATAGCATGTGCGTCATTGTTCAGAAGATTAGCTTTAGGTCCTATTTTCAAATATGAAATGGTAGCATAAGCTGTAAAACTGTAGTCTTCTCTGCATAAAATAAAGGCCAACAATAAGAAAGTTTTTGAAGGAATCACAGAAAACAAATTTATAAAAGAAATAACTGTGCAATAATTTTTAACACATTGACTTGAAATAATAAAACAAGAATGCAAATAAAGCCTTTAAAGAAAATATTTTTGTTACATTTTTTGATTTATAGTGATTGAAGTTTGAGTGTTTTAGGTAAATTTCCATAGCATTTAAAAGTTCACACAAAATAACTGCAAAACCATGTATTCTGTTGCAATTAAAAAGAAAAACCATAAAGACAACCTGAAAGGATGATGAATGGGTTTGTACATACTTAAGATACTGCTGTATTAGAAAGTGTGCAATAATCTTCTCCAGGTCTTCACGAGGAAGTGTGGGAGCCACAACACCTGCTACTCTCAGTTTTGCTGCACCCTTTCCCATCCAAGAATCAATCAGTTTCAATGGAGTGAGTTTTTCATTCAGTTCCTCTGCCTGCTTCAGGATCTTGATTAGATCTCTGCAGTACTCTGTTATATTCTTTCTTTCAAATGCTGTAATAAAGCAAATATGGTAGCAGGTAACTGGGATTTAGAAATGAGGGCAAGGATAGGCTATCTTAAGTGGATAAACTGGTTTAAAGCTGGTTATCAATGTGAGCCACCCTAAACACTGATTTTTAAATGTATTCTGAATGAAGACTAGGCTATTCCTCAAGTCTCTGTCACTAGACCAAGTTATGGTCTCTACATTGTGGAGTTTACAGTGATATTTAAAAAAAAAAAAATGGTTATCAGAAGCCCTGCCATATACTCTAGAAATCAATGTGTCTGCCAGATGTGATTATTAAGTTACTAAGAGGTGTGCTATATAGGAGACCCTGTCTAGTTATAGGCTCCTGTGCACTCTGATTTAGCAACAAGAATGTCCTCAACTGATACCCCGATTATTAACAGACCAGTACTCTGATTTATATATAACATTCTTGTTATTTTATAAGATGGTTTAATAAACTCATAAACTTCTCTGCAAAGTTAAAAATGTAGTGGCTTCCACCTAACAAGGCATCAGAACTCAGTAAGGTCTTACCATGAGGTCCAGATCTTCAAATACAACACACAGATGACAAAAAGTTAAAATACAGTGCCAAAATGATTGCAGGCAAATCCCAAAATTGGGACTCACCCCAGGAGGGTTCCCAGTTTCACACAAGAAAGAATCTGAGAGCAAGCCAACAGAGTAAAGTGAAAGCACAGCAAGTTTATTAGCAATAGAGTATAGAAAATGGCTCCACAGACAAAGTAGGGCTACCCCAAAGGCAGAGTGGCACTGTAGATTGCTCACTAGTGATATTTACAGCTACTCATTAGTTACATGCTAAATAAGGGGAATATTATTCGTGAATCTTCTAGAAAAGGGTAGGGAGTTCCTAGAACCATGTAACTTTCGGGCATTGTCACGGCATTTGTAAACTGCCATGGTGCTAGTGGGAGTGTCTTACAGCATGCAAATACATTACATTTTCTAGTTCTAACTGGTTTGGGCCAGTTTCTTTGCCACATCTTGTTTGACCAGATCCTGTTTGATCAGCAGGGTTGTGATCAATGCTCAGAAAACAAGTCCTGCTGATCTACCTTTAAAAGAATTTTAAGTAAATCTCCTATGACTAATTAGCCATTAACTGGATCAAAAATGATTCTCTATAATCTCTATTTTGCACTAAATTTTCTTCTCAATTAGTGACTATAATGTATTAGAGATTATCACATGGTTAGCGTTTTCTTACAGAATAGCATTTCTATTCAGAAGAATTCAAATATTTTCCTTCATTTCTTAAAAATTTCACATCCTCGGTATAGCAATATAAAACGTGTGCATACACATAAGACTTTTCCTTTTATTCAGCTTTGTTTCAAAACTTCATGTTGATACTTTTAATTCTGGAAAATCTGAGTCACACTTTAATCTTTTAAATCCATTTGGAAGTCTAATACTTCTCTCATGTCCCAGCTGTATATACAGTTTTGTGTGTGCCACATAATATTTTGGTCAGTGATGGACCACGTACATGCCAGTGGTCCCAAGAGATTATAATACCATATTTTTACTGTACTTACTCTATGTTAAGATACACAAATACTTAGCAATGTGTTACAGTTGCCTGCAGTATGCAGTACAGTAACACGCTGTACAGATTGGTAGCCTAGGATCAATAGGCTATACCATATAACCTAGGAGACTATACCATCTAGGTCTATGTAACTACACTTTGATGTCTGCACAATGACAAAATCACCTAGTGATGCATTTCTCAGAACGTATCTCCGTCACTAGGCAATATATGACTGTGTTAGCCTATAAAGGTTTACAAAACAACAAACTCACCACTGTCTTTACAGCAGTTATCACACATTTTGTTACATGCTTCTGAGTTCCATACTTCATCAAAATGTTGAGCCATCAACACACGACGACATCTGAAAACACATTTAAAGATACAGATTATTTGAGGATATAATAAAGTTTTAAGAATCTCTTTCAGATTACACCATTATATACTGTATTCGCATCCTATAACTGCCATATTACCATAAACTTAGTGGCTTTAAACAACACAAATTTATTCTTAACATTTCTGTAGTTTAGATTCAGAAGGTGTACTATGGGTTTCACTGGATCAAAATCAGGGTGTCAGGTTCTTCTCACATCACACAATCTAAAATAATCTCCCGATTTTAAGGTCAGCTAATGAACAGTCTTAATTCCACGTGCAACTCTAATTTCCTTTTGCCATGTGAGGTAAAATACAGGTTAGGAATTAGGACATGAACATCTTTGGGGCACATTGTGCCCCCGACATAGGATTTTTTTCCCCCACATATTCTTGATAAACACTGTTTAAAAAATTGTCTGAGTTCCATTTTTAAATTCAATGTTTTACAACTATTAGGAGAATATTCTCAACAGTAAAATAGTTTCTTATATTTTTAAGTAGCAATATTTGAGTCGAAGCCTTAAAATATGCTTCATGAGAATCTACTGGGCTTTTAAAGACATTTTCATTTTCTCATTTCTTTTAACTAGATTATTGTAGCATCTACTGGAAAGAAAGAACATTTCTATCACTGTCTGTCTGCTATTTACCACCTCGACATTTCTGAGCGCTTTTTATGTGATAGGCAATAAGAGCACAAAGATAACTATGACAAAAAGCTTTCAGGAAACTATATAGTCTAACTAAAGCCACCCTAAGTAGATTTAAACTTACTTCTTAAGGAGAAACTTGGTATTGCATTGACACATGAGCTAGCAGGATGGCACATGTTACTGAGCCTGACTCTCAAAATGCCTATCTTAACCACAGACCTTTTCAAAATTATTAAAGCATGTAACTGTACACCAGTGCCAGAGAAAAAAAAGGCTTCAACTGCTATCAGTGGGTCTCAAAAACCTTCAATTAAAAAAGTAGTTTTGGAGGATTATCTCAAAGATAGGGCATCTTTTCTTGAATTAAGGCAGATCACACAGATTGATGTATGGGTACCTACCCTCCAACATCTGCTTTTATAGATCTGTACTTTGGTGTTACACCAATGCATTTAGTAAGAACTTAAAAATGATGTCATATACTTTCATATTTAATTGATAAAAGTTATACAAAGGTATGTGGCTTACTTGCTTATGTTTTGACAGTATGATACCATCTCATAAAGCTTCTGCTGTCCCACATTTTCCATCACCACCATTGAACTTATTCTGAATATATCTCCAAAGCCATAGTACAAAATACAGTCTGCTTTCATGTCATCTCGACCTGTGGTGTGAGAAACCTTGAGAATGCAGAAACCTTGAGATTGCAGAATTACATTTAAAAATTCAAAATATGCAAAAATGATATACGTAAAATTAGCAGGCAATGTTTTATACTACATCTAGAAATTTTAGAGATGTGAGAGTTAATTTGTAATGGGTACCCTCAAATAAAAAAAAACTCTAACAAGAGACATCAATCATCAGCTCTACTAAGTTAAAAAATGTGTCTATAATCCAGTTAAGTTACAGATTTGAAATCACTAATTAAAAATTCAGGAGGCAAAGATGAACATCAAATTATCTTAACACACATAAGAAGAAACAATTCAGATAACAACAGAACAGAAGTAAAAATTTCTCCATATGCAAGTAAGTGTCAGACTGCTAAAAATACATTGTTCTAAAAATACTATCCAATAAAGATAAAATATACAGACTTATTAAACACTTATAATGTGTTTTTGGGAAAAGCTTTCTAAAAATTTACTTCTGGATTTGAGTCCTACATACCTGCACGTCCACTCTCTTGGTAATAATTTTCCATGGATTTACTCATTGAATGATGGATGACAAACCTCACATCTGGCTTATCAATTCCCATACCAAATGCAACAGTTGCCACTACTACCTGAAATATTTTAACATTTTATCAGTTAATTAAATCAAGTTTAAATATTTTAAATGTAAATTAGGCTTCCATGGAAGATATATACCTAACCTGAATTTCATTGGCTGACCATTTTCTATGAACTGTGGTCTTATCTTCTGGCTCCAAATTGGCATGGTAAGCACCTGCATGAATTCCCAGATTCTGCAAACTAACCGTAACTTGTTCAGAGTCTTTCTGAGAAAAACAATATATGATTCCTGCAGTAAAATATGTGCATTTGTTAGACAGATATGGTATATTCCTGGAAGATAATTTTCAACACACACATTCGGAACACTGATTAATACAATGCACAGAAGGAAAAAAAGAATTATGAAAACTTTCAAGGCCTTGTGCATATATTGACATTTTGGTATAATTCCAGACTTGAGCACCAGCTTGCTTTAAAGCAGAAATGAGCCTGAGCCATCAGTTTTCATTCCCGTTATCTCTTTTCTCTCTTTATTTCCCACTACACAGTATTTCTCAAACTGATGTCTGTAAGATGCTAACAAATGTGCTATGAATGCAGTGTTCTCCGGATTAATTTTGGGTTAATTTAGATTAATTTGCATGCAAATTAATTTGGAGAACATTGCATTCAACAAAGTTAAATGGGTGTCTCTCTTTATTTTCAGGGATGGTCAGAGCTTCTAGTTTGCTGATATACCCTGTGAATGTCCAGGCAGAATAAATACCTACAACCTTTCTCAAATTTATTTGACCCTAGAACTCCTTTTACCCAGGACACCCATTACTACCTCCTGAAAATCCATAGAACAGTTTAAAATGCTACTTCTACACAAATTCTTTGCTTCGGTAACATTTGTTTAGTCATTAAACCCAGAAAACCATGTATATATGGTTTACTGGTTATATGGTGGCTTTAAACAACACAAATTTATTCTTAACATTTCTGTAGTTTAGATTTAGAAGTGTATTATGGGTTTCACTGGATCAAAATCAGGGTGTCTGGCTCTTCTCACATCACACAATCTAAAATAATCTCCCGATTTTAAGGTCAGCTAATGAACAGTCTCAATTCCATGTGCAACTCTAATTTCCTTTTGCCATGTGAGGTAATGTACAGGTTAGGAATTAGTACAGGTTAGGAATTAGTAGTACATACATATTCAGTATGTACTACTGGATTTACTTATTGCTTTAATGTGTCCTTTACTATAAGGGAGTATATTTTCTATCCCTTTAGAACATCAGTTGCTTAATCCACTATTTTGTACTTAGTGGATACGTACTAAATATGTGCTGTTGATAATTCACATTAAGTCATCAGGTCTATTCTAAAGCAAGTGTAAATAAGCAAAAATAAATCAAGCAATTTGATGACTCATAATCTATGGCATAAGCAAATGTCACACCCAATTTCTAAGATCAAGTGAATTAATTTTATCACACATTTTCAAGTATCTTCTGCTATACATTAATTTTTTGTTGTTATTCAGTTACCAGTACAATTCTCAATATAATATGAAGTCACTTTTTGAAAGTTATCTCTGTCTCCAAAGTTGGTTTGTTTTTACATTACCTGATTGCCCTTTGTATCTCCCATTAATGAGCTTTACAATATCCTCAATAAAATCTTCAGTGTTTGAGGGCTTCTGCCGAACCTAAAAAAAACTTAACTTATTAAAAAGTAAATGAGTACCATTCAAGTGGCTGTCTACTCACAACTTTCAGGATGCAGTTCTTTCATGACCATAGTGTTTTTCTATTACTCTTTCACTTACTCATAGGATTCAACCAATCTGACTCATCTGTTCCTCCTCCCAGACTCTTCTTGATCTTTATTTTTTTAATTTACCAGAGAAGAGCAAGCACAGGAACAGTGAATAACTTGTAAGGATGAAGACTTTTTTATTTTGTGATGCTACTTTTATAAAAGCAAACCGTAACATAAATAACTCTGGAATGAAAACTTAGAAAAATATTAAATCTATTCTTAAAAGGGTTTAGAAAGAAAGAAAAGACAGCTGTTAGGTTATTTTTCAAGTTTATCAAGTCAAATCTAAATAGAATTGGCAAATCTTTAGTGGCATATTAATACTTCTATTAATTAGTTATTAATTTGAACAGAGATGTTATTAGGGTCCTTAGTATCACTCCATCCTTGCTCCCCATCTTTACACAAAGAAGAACATACAGAAATTTAACAAAGATATATAACTTACTCATATATTTTATAAAAAGTATCACCTAGCAAGAATGTCTTCTGTTTAATCTAACAAAGGATTATGTAGCAAAAGATACATGAATGAAGCCCTAGTTACAGAATCTACTTATAATTACCTCCTAATGTTAAAAGTTTTTGTAAAGTATTTAACTGCTGCTCATGTAAACAAACATAATAAAAAGGTAAATCCTCTCTGTGTAATTCTTCACGAAAGTAATGAATGGACATAAAAATTACATACCTCATAATATAGATTTGACCTATTAAAAGAAGCTGTAAAAGTAAAACACTTTTCAACGCACAAAATTTTCTGAGCATCCGTCAAAACGTGATTGGTTGCAGTCGCAGTCAGCCCAATTAGTGATGCGTTAGGGAACTGCCGCTTTAAGATACCAAGCGCCTTATAATCTGAAAAAACAAATAAAGTAGCCCTTTTTCTATCCTTTAAGACTTAGAGTAAACTATTCCTTTTAACATTATGCAGATAATCGATGACTACTATGATTTTAATTCCACAGCCATCTATAGCAGTAAATTTGCAGTTCTGCGTTAGCCTTTTTGATGTGCAGGCTTTATTATATTTATTCCAGATATTATTCTTGGTCACAGTGGACTCAAGAGACAGTGGGTATAGCCACAGTGTTTTAATTTATTACAACTAACAAAAGATAAAACCGGCCATCAGACAAACCCCTGCTACCACCTAGTGTCATCAGACCAAATAAAGCTTGATAAGGGCAGCACTGCTTTGTATATAACCTATTTCTCGGAAACCATTCTAGGCTCAAACTTGTTATATGCATCTAAATCACTAGATAAATTGTCCTTAATCTCCCTTAAGAACTTGAACTATTTGGGGGAAAGTGAAAAAAATGTGGTAGAAATTGCTTATATGCTAAGTAGAGGGCTACTATGAAAACACAGAGGACAGAACAGCTGCTTGGGAAGTGAAGATTTCAAGGAGATAATACTTGAGTTATGTCTTAAGACAATGAACAGAAGTTCACTAGGAAGAGACGAACATCACGCAGAAGAAACAGCATATATACTGCAAATACACTGGCATGAAATTAGTATGTTCAGACAACAGCAAGCAGTTCACTGGGGTGGTCACAGAGTCTTGTGGTGGATGGATTTATTGTCCAATCCATTAAGCTGGAAATTACATTTCCCAGAATCTCTTTCCTGTTCCAAGTTAGAGCTGACCCAAAAGAGGAACTTGTGCAAGATTTGGTGGCAGAAGTGAACCAGCTAACATTGCTCCTTCAAGGTCTTTACAAGCAGAGAGGATGATGGACAGATCTAGAAGTGCTCAGCCAGTTCTAGGTCATCCTAGTTCTTTTCCAGTCCTCATTCAGCTGTTCCTCCCAACTGCAGGTCTTGCCAGTCAACAGCAGACCCACAGAGGCGATAGCTACTCACAGGAAGTAGCTTACCAGAGACCCTTCCACGACCTTCCCTTTAGGGGTCCTCTTTGCCACTGTACATGCCAGCTACAGATTTCCCTACAGGCTCTGCCTCGTCCTCCTGCACCAGTGCTTAGGCATCAATCCGTTACTTTTCTCTAATCCTCCACCTCCCCTCTTCAGACCTTCCCTTCCCCAGTTCCTCCCACAATTGTTCAAGATCGACTTCCTACAGTAAAACCGTTATCCTGTAACATTCATCGTGACTCTGCTTCCCTGCCTGAACCCTGACTGACACTGTTATGTAGAAGGCAGGTGAGGAGGCCGAGGCGGGCAGATCACGAGGTCAGGAGATCGAGACCATCCTGGCTAACATGGTGAAACCCCATCTCTACTAAAAATACAAAAAAATTAGCCAGGTGTGGTGGCGGTTGCCTGTAGTCCCAGCTACTCGGGAGGCTGAGGCAGGAGAATGGTGTGAACCCGGGAGGCGAAGCTTGCAGTGAGCCGAGATCGCGCTACTGCACTCCAGCCTGGGCGACAGAGCGAGACTCTGTCTCAAAAAAAAAAAAAAGCTATGAACAATGCAGCCAGTTGATTCTAAGCTGAGACTTTATCCTATAGGAAATGAGGAGTCATCATGTAATTTTTTTTTTTTGAGATGGAGTCTCACTCTGTCACCCAGGCTGGAGTGCAATGGCATAATCTCGGTTCACTGGAACCTCCATCTCCTGGATTCAAGCGATTCTCCTGCCTCAGCCTTCCGAGTAACTGGGATTACAGGCATACACCACCACATCTGGCTAATTTTTACATTTTTTGTAGAGATGGGGTTTCACTGTGTTGGCCAGGCTGGTCTTCAACTCCTGACTTCAGGTGATCCACCCGCCTCGGCCTCCCAAAGTGCTGCGATTACAGGCATAAGCCACCGCGCCCAGTCCATCATGTAATTTCTAAAGACGTATGCTTCATAAATCATCTTTTGGTGACAGTGCAAAATATAGACTGGAATAGACAAAACACTGAAGGAAAACCAGTTAAAAGATGGCAGTAACAGACCAGAAAACAAATAATACAGAATATAAAATAAGACATGACATTAAGGACAAATCAGAAAGAGTAAAGAGACATACATGAACCTACAGGTCCTAGTGACTACTGGGATCTGGAGGTGGCAGGGAGGAGGGAGAGAGTGCCAGATTTACCCATTCATCAGTAGATAAATGTTGAACACCTTTTTCATTGGGTGCCAAGCACTTCCCTAGGCACTGAAGATAGAGTGATGAACAAGACAAAAATGCTATGCAAATGTGTCTGTAATTCAAGCAAAGAAACAAGACAATACAAAGAGTAAGCCAATAAATACGCCATTAGAGAGTGGTAAGTGCTCATAATAAGCCCGGCATAGCTGGGGCTTAAGAAGTAAGAGAGGAAGAGTGGGAAATCAGGTAGACAGATGGGGGCAGATCACCTATTACCCTATGGGCCCCAGTTAAGAACTTTGGGGTTTTATTCTAAGCACACAGTAGCTACTGGCTAGTTTAGGTAGGGAAGTAACATGATTTGATTTATATTTAGAAAATATCACTGGTTGCTCTGTGGAGAATGAACAAAAAGGGTAAGACCATAATCACAGACTACTTAGGAAGCTACTGCAGTAGACCAGTGGAAGGGAGCTCAACTGTATGTAAGACGTAGGTGCACAAAGTGTAGACAAACTTGAGATTCATTTTAGAGGCAGAGCTGACAACACTGAGTGGTGGACTGGACCTGCAAAGGGAGCGTAAATCAAGGATGGTGTGTCATCCATCATTTTTTTGTCATCTCTAACCCTACCTTCTATACTCTGCTTTGGGATGCTGCACCAAGGACTCTGCACACGACGCATCAGCTTTGCCTGCTGGCCCTGCATGGAAGATTCCATGGCTGCTTCCTCCCTAACTGCTTCCTTTGGGCTTGCTTGTGTTCCTGTGACTGCCACCCCAGCAAGACTTCTCATCCCTGCAGCAGCACTTCTTTCCTTAAGAGCAACTAAATACAGCTGGCAGTTTTTTCAGCCTTTGGAGAATCAGCTCTATCACAGATGTACCCCACCTCTGGCTCCACCAAGAGACTCCAGCACCAGGGAGCTCAGTTCCACGGGGGCCTCTCCTTTAAGTTTCTAAGTCTTATTTGTTTCAATCTTTTCTTCCTGTTCTCCCAGCCCTACAGGTGGTTGTTGCTTCTTCCAGCTTTTAACTCCATGATATCTTAGTTTCCTTTTTACTTTTTCAGTTATCTATGTAGCTACTTTTTACCTAGTTCACAATTCTTTATAAAAAATCCTCTGTGTTCAAATAACTGTCTCCTGACTGGAATCTAAATGATAAAGGTAACTGCTACAGTTTTGGCTTCAGCAAACAGGTGAGTGAGTGGATGACTTTCTAAGACAGAGAAGACTGAAGGGGAAAATTGCTTGGGAGTAGAGAGGAGAAGGGAGAAAGGAAAGGTGAAGAAAATAAAAAGTTTTTGGTTAGAACGTCGAGTGGAGTTATGGGGAAAATAGTGACTCCCAGTTGAGAAGAAAAAGAGCAGTTCTTTGGGGGGAATTTAGTTTCGTTCATGCTAATTTAGATACACATTTCTGATAAACAATTAGGAGTATAAATTTAAAGTTTAGAAGTTAGATAATTAGATATGGGAATAATGTTTTACACTTCGGCAGCAGATCCACAGAGACAACATAAGTCACGGTAATACTTAAGCAAGGGTGATAATCGTAAGTGATTGCACCACTTAAGCTGAAAATAGGGCAAGAGTCACAAATCGGGTAACTTCAGTGGCCACCAGGTAACAACCATGTGGCATTATCTGGTTAAGAAAGTGGGGTCCTTAATAGAAAGGACTATACATCCTGTTTAAGGCATTTAAATCCATTTAAAATATATAAATAAATAAAAACAATGCCCATAATAATTCTGTAGGTAGAGAATGCAGTCTTTGGGCTACAAGCTCACTATCCCTGGAGAAATGTAAGAAAGGGTAAAGACTGAGGTCAGAACCCTAGGGAACACTAATATTTAAAACGAAGACAAAGGAAGATGAGCGAAGGAGGTAATAATGGAAAGGAAGACACTGACCAGCATTACTGTGCAGTAACCAAGGGAGTAGCATGTGGCAAGGTGAGAGGTGAATATATAAAATGTTACTGAAGTTAAGTGGGAAGAGGAATGAAGATGAGACCACGTGATGAAGCCACTGGGGGTGGGTCACCGATGACCTGTTTCAATAGGACGGTGATGGCAGAAGGATATGATTCAATTAGTTCAGAATGGGTTAAAGGTGACAAATGGAGATGGTAAGCTGAGAAGTCTGATGGTGACAGAAAGAACAAAAAGAGGACAGTCACATTAAAAGGTGCAAAAGATCAGAAGGGTGTTTTAGTTTCTGTTTTTAGGGAGGGGACAAAAGAGACTCAAGGTGAAGGAGTGAGGAACTTGGCAGTGCAAGATCTTAAGAAGGCAGGAGAGGATGAAACGGGAGTGGTCATGGTTACCCTTATAAAGCAGTGGTCTTTTCTGCCTTAACAAAAGAAAAACAACAACAACAAAGATTACTAATGTTTGAAAGTAGAAAGAGGAGCTGTTCACACCTGATGGCATCTATTTCCTGTGAAGCAGAAAGCATCTGCTAAGTACAAGTTAGGGCCTGAATAGAAAGTTAATGATACGAGACATTTGTTGGAAGGAATGTATAAAGGAGTTGAAATAGGGACAAGTATAAGGACAGCTGAGGATAATGAAAAGCTGAACGGAGTTATGCAATTTTTTTTTTTTTTTGGATAATGTTTAGTAGCCAAGCAGCAGGAATAGGGAAAGCAGAAGTCTAGATGAATCCAGCGTCTCAGGCACAACACCTGAAGCAGACTGGCAGAATGGCCAGGCAGTCCAGGGCAAACATAACAGAAGTCGGGGCAACAGCACAGTGTCTGGACGGGAAAAAGAGTGATTGCTATGTAGGGACAGGAGCCTGGATAAATAAGCCGGGATTAAAAGAGGGATCCAGCAAATCCTAATGAGTGTGAAAAGCTTCAGAAGGAAAAGAGGTTGAAGCCAGGGAGTCGGATTTTTGAATTTAGGATTTTTTTGCATATAACAATTCTGAGTAACTTACTTTAGGCTATGACTGTAGGATTGGGTGGTGGGGTGAAGAAAAAGGTCACTAAAATATCTCATCAAAGTTTAATGCTAAGGAGTTGCAGGTGGGTGCTAAAAAGACCCCTAGAATGATGACTAAAGATGACAACTTTGAGACAGATGCAAATTCTTCAACAAATGTGAAGGAATACCTAGATGTCATAAATGCCAAAAAGATGTCTATTATTGGCTAGTAAACATATGTGTCCATATTTGTCCATAATTGACAAAGGCAATTAAACTACAGACTACAGAGGGGAATGAAACTAAAGATTCTGCTTCTCAGTCCTCCTCATAATGAGGCAAGATAAAATGAGTAATACAGGCTGATCATCCCAAACCCAAAAAAATCCAAAATTTAAAACTCTTTTGGTTCCAAGCATTCTGGATAAGGGATATTCAACGTGTAACTACTTGAGGCTGATTTTAATAGAAGCAGAGATTTCCATCATGCCAAGCTGAGTAAGGACACGGTCTATGACATCAAAAAGCTTTCTAGATAAAACATACATACCAGGTCTGAAATCATGTCCCCACTGACTACAGCAGTGAACTTCATCCACAGCAATTCGAGTGAATCTCCTTGCTTCATAGGCTTTCTCTAGTCTTGACATAAACATTTTGCTTTTTGCAATTTTCTCTGGAGTCACATAAATCAGCTTTAACTCGGAGTTTTTATTTACCATTTCAGCATGAACCCATTTAACATGCTCCTAGTAAAAGAAAAAACAGACACAATGATAGTAAAACTAAGCTGGCAGACTGAAATACTAGGTGGTAAATGAAAACGTTCATTTCTCCAAAGCAATAATAGACTTCGGCTCTTCTAGGAGCAGACGTTTGGTTCATTAAAACTGAAACCATGTCCCAGTACTAAACATCATGGCAGCTGTGTAAACAGCATTCTAGTTATTTACTAACATCTACATTGTTGGTGATTAAAAAAAAACTCACTTGACAAAAAAGAACAAAAAAAAATGAACATGAACAGATAGTCCAATGAAGAGCATTTATTCTATAAAGGGATAATTCTAAATTGTTCATAATATATTCTAAAATGTGAGCTAGATGCAATTGTTATGGTTATAAAGGTGGGTTTTATTAATTTTAACATTATATTTATAATCCCTTTATGTATGTGAACAAAATTTATTATTTATTAACTTCTTAAATGATGCCATCAAATCTTTTAATCTCTTTATTTAAACATGAAGACCATGGGGTTTCAAAAAGTATTACTCATTAAATTAAGATAATAATAAATCTTAAAAGCTAACATTTATTAGCTTCTTAGTACTCTAATACAATTCTGTATAATACTTAGCACATTAGATATCATTTTTTTCCTTCTAACCTAAAGAGGACCAAAAAAGTATAAAAACATGCCAGTGAATGGGATAGAAAGAGACAATCAAACTGCTTTCATCATCCCGGCAAAGCAGTTTGTTAATTCCTAGATATATTCTAGGATACAGATGTTCTTTTTTTCTCTCTCCAACTTTTCAAGCAGTGGGGATATATCATGAACTGGTAATTATCTTCAACTTTCTAAACTACTTTCTATTACTATTATGTTCTTTTCCAATTTTAAGAAAGTACATTATTAGAAAGCAGTTTTCTCCATAGACTGATTTTGTTGAATGAAGGAGCAGTTATAATAGAATGACATGGAGTTTAAATAAAACAAAAACATATGGGTAAACTAAAGGAAGCAGGGCTTCTTGGAGGTATGGCTGACTCTAGGTCTGCGCAGGAAATGCATAAAATGAACATGGATTATCTTACTGCAAAAGAAAGCAAGGAGCAGAAGCAATGCGGTTAAGAGAAAAGATTCAGGAACCAACTTAAAGAGGCTCTCACTGCCCAAGGCCAGGACTATTTCAGCATTACATAGATACACATTTATATGATTCCAAAGGTGAATCACATTATATCTCAAAATTTGTAAGTTTATAGTGATACTTGGGGGAAAAAAATACCTTAAAAATCTTGTTGACCACCTTTGGAGAATGCTAGAAAACCAACTCTTTCTGAAAACTGGTAAAGAAAGGGGAAAAAAAATCTAGCATTTTCATCATGCAGAGCTAATGAGGAAGAAGTTCATTTTTGTAGAAAAAGTGTAGCTAATACGAAGAGTGACAGAATTAGGTATCACCATTTTGCACCTCCCTAATGAAATCATGGCTCTCACGGTGCCACTCAGTGGCTGCTAAAACATTAGATGAAAAGCTGATAACCAGAGATCAGGCAGACATCACCTGAACCCACTGATGCTTAGCATCACAAAAAGATAACCAGGTACTATGTACCACTTGAGTGATACCACAGTAAGTATACTCTTGCAAAAAACCAAAAAAAAAAGTTAAAGAGAAAAGAAAAATTCCAAATACAATCAGGCTTTTAGATCTAACAGGATCCAGTTACCTATGTAACAAACCTGCACATCTTGCACATGTACCCCAGAACTGAAAAGAAAGAAAGAAAACAAGAGAGAGAGAGAGAGAGAAGAAAAGAAAAGAAAGAAAAGAAAAGAAAAGAAAAGACCACAAGGATGCAATCAGGAAAATGTAGAAAGATACAGGACCATTAATGTGGTTTCTTCAACAAATAATTTGCATGGGAAATACAAAAGAGAGAAAGGGAACCTATGGGTATATCAACCAAACACAATACAATGTATGAATATTATCTGGGCTATATTTAGAAAAAGAAAACATAAAAATGAGACAGAGAAATCTGAATTTTTCATAATTCTAAAGAATTGATATTAAAGTTTTTAGATGTGATGATGGCATAGCACTTTTCTTTAAAGTTAGAGATACATACTGAAGAATTTACAATTACAATATGATGTCTGGAATTTGTTCTGAATAAATAAACTAAGGGGAAGGGGGTAGGGAAAACTGGAGGTATATAGATTAAAAAAAAAGATTAGCCATATGTTAACTGTTGAAGAGGGAAATGGCTGCATGGCAGTTTTTATGCTATTCTCTCTCCTTTTGAAGATTTCAATAATACGCTTTTTAAAAAAGAATAGCTGGGACATGCTTTATTCTACAGATGATGGTAAAAGAGTCCATCCCTAAATAGAAGAAATTCCATAGGTACAGGGTAACTTCTTAGTAATTCATATTTCACATTTAATTACACTGCATAATTAGAAATTCTCCCTTACTATTTTAGAATGGATAATACGAAATAGGTCAGCAAATGTTTTCTGTAAAGTACCAGACAAAAACATTAGGTTTTGTGGGCTATAAGGTCTCTATCACAACTACTCCACTCTGCCATTATACTGTAAAAGCAGCCACAGACAACATGTAAACAAATGAGCATAGTTGTGTTTCAATAAAACTTTATTTATGGATACTGAAACTTGAACTGCAAATAATTTTCACATTTCACAAAATACTCGTTTTAGTTTTTTTTAGCCATTAAAAAATATAAAAACTATTCATAATTCATGGGACATACAAAAATAGACAGTGGGCCAGAACTGGTCAAGAGCAGTAGATTGCAACTCCTGATATAAATAGTTAACAGTTTATAATTTTATAAGCAACTCAACTGCAGGTAAAGCTCCTATTTCAGTGAATAGTTTACATTTAAAAAAAAAAAAAGCCACTGAAACATACCTTAGAACTTGAAGCATTTAACATGGTTGCTGAAATTCCTAATTGTTTTAAAACCATTAATTGGTCTTCCATAAGAGAGATCAATGGGCAAATGACGAGTGTAAAACCTAAAAGAGGAAAAAAAAAATCTACCTTAAACTTTACACCACCCTCAGAATCAGTTGCAAACCATTCACCTTTTTTTTTTTTTTAGAGACAGAATCTCACTCTGTTGTCCAGGCTAGAGTACAGTGGTGCCATCTTGGCTCATTGCGACCTCCGCCTCCGGAGTTCAAGCAATTCTCCTGCCTCAGCCTCCCAAGTAGCTAGGAGTACAGGCACCCACCGCCATGCCTGGCTAATTTCTTTTGTATTTTAGTAGAGATAGGGTTTCGCTGTGTTATCCAAGCTGGTCTCGAACTCCTGAGCTCAGGCAATCCACCCACCTTAGCCTCCCAAAGTACTAGGATTACAGGCACGAGCTACCGCGCCCAGCCCATTCACCTTATTAACTTGTGGGCACCGCCCATTAATTCAGATTAATTTCTAGTGTAGCTTTACTAAAGCTTACTTACTTCTTACTCTCATTGATTAGATATGAATAAATGACCAAACAAGGTAACTATAAGCCAAATAAACAAACATACAACTAAACAGAACTCTATCCTTATAAAAATAAAGACAGACATTAACATTTCAAATGTTTAATTTGCTATCATTTTAAATAATCACTACTAGTAATTTCAGTAAGGTAACATATATCAGTTCAAACACTAAACAGTTTCATCAGGGAAAAATTACTACAAAGCTTTCCCAAAAAAACAGTAGTGTGTATAATTAAACATGATAGTTGCATGAGCATTCTTTTACTTTTTATATGAGATTTTTGCTGAGTAGAAATCAGTGAACAGTTTACTGTCTGAATGAAGTTATAGTAATATGCCCCCTTCCTTATAACTGAAACTGTTTAAAGTACAAAAGCTATTCTACAGTTAAAATTATATGACTTTACGTTTCTGTAGTTTGTTTCTTATGACAACTTTTGGCAGAGTGCAGACATGTTTAAAAAACATAATCATATTAAGATCTTATTAGGGATTTTTCCCAGTCAATTATTCTCTCTGCTATTATTTTCACTTTTCCTGACTAGCACCTACTCATTACATTTAAACATGGTCAAGTCTCTCTCATCTTGGAAAACACCCACTATGGTCTGAATGTTGGTATCCCCAAGGAAGTGATTAAGTAATGAAGGCTCTGCTTTCATAAGTGGGATTAATGCCATTTTACAAGAAGTTGAAGTGAGTGCCCTTTCTTTGCCACCATGTGAGGGTGCAGCAAGAAGGTGCCATCTATGAGAAACACCCCCTCTCTAAACACCAAAATCTATTAGCATCTTGATCTTGGACTTCCAAGCCTCCAGAGCTGCAAGCGGTAAACTTCTATTGTTTGTTAATTAACTGATATAAAGCATTCTGTTATAGCAGCTGGAATAGACTAAGATAACACCTAATTTATGGCCCCCTCTCTTCTTCCCCTCATAGCCATTCTTTTCCAAAGAGCATCCCACACTCACCAGTTCCACTTCCTCAACTCCTACTCACTTCAAACCATTGTTATTTGGTCTCCACCCAGCCATTTCAATAAAATTGCTGCAGCTAAGGTCCTCTGTCATTAAACTCATTGAAACTTAATCCTTATCGTATTTGACATTTTGCTAACAGACATCACTATTAACCACTCCCTCATTCAAACACACCCTTCCCTAGGCTTCTAATAACACCATACAATCCTGGTTATCCTATATGTTGCTACTCATTCTCAGCCTTGTCTGAAAGCCCTCTTTCTGTTTATCCCTAAACTCTTGGTGTTCTGGTTTCTGTTCTAGGCTTTCTTCTCTTCTTATGCTGCTCTGTAATTCATTCCAATGGCTTCAGTGCCATCTCCACACTAACAATCTCCAACTCAGACCTCCAACACCAGGCTTTAGACACAAACATCCTCCTACTCAGGACAATTCCATCTGGATGTCTTAAAGGCATCGTAAATTCAGCATGTCCCAAATAAATTCATCATCTTCCTTCTCTCCATTCCCAAGAGTTCTTTCTCCAGTGTACCCCATTTCAGTGAAGAACCTCCCCACTGTCCAAGCCTAAAATTTGAGCATCATTCTTGACTATTCTTTCTCCTTTCCCCACAGGCAATAAATACCAAGTCCCACTGACTCTATCTTCCAGATGTATCTGGAATTCATCTAACTGCTAGAATTATCCTTCTAAACCATGAAATAATGAGTCTCTTACCTGTGTAAAACCCTTCAATGGCTTCCTGCTAAAATAAGGAAAAGTTTTTAAAAATAAGACTCTACATGTCTTACCACTGACTGCCACATAGGAATTCCTCTAGGTTACTGAATACATCATAATGTGAATGTTCTCTCTTGCTTTTAGATCTCACACATGTTGCTTTTCTTCCTTCCCTGTCCCTTCTGCCTACTCACCCTTTAACTTTTAGCTTAAACACCACTCCCTCAGAACAATTTTCCCTGACAGCCCCTAGACTAGATCTTTGTACAGTCTTAATTACCTATTAAAACCTGTATCCCAAAATTCTTATTGCAATTGCTTGCAATTACCCATATTCTGTAAACCAGTGATCAACAAAGTAAGGGCTGGTTGCCTGTTTTTGTAAGTTATTTTAATGGAACACAGCTACACCCATGTGTTTACACGTTACAAATGTGGCTGCTTTTGTGCTAGAAAAGCACAAAACCTGTGGCAGGGTTGAAGAGTTGTCAAGGAGACCATATGGACCACAAGCCTATATTATTTACTATCTACTCTTTCAAGAAAAAGCTTGGTGACCCCTTGCTACTCCCCAATCAATAATATCAGTAGCACCAGCGAACTCGTTAGAAATGCAGGATCTTTGGTCTCACATAAAATCAGAATCTGCACATAATCAAATCCTCAGGCGATTCTTATGTACACTAACGTCTGAGAAAGGGCTACTCTACACTATGAGTTCTGTGAAAACTAAGACCACGCCCATTTTGCTCACTACTGTACCTCCCAGCGCCTAGCACCGTGGCAGACACTCAATGAAGATCTGGGACTAGAATTCAGGTCTACTGACTCTTCTTCTAGAGTTGCTTCTCCTACAACATTTTTGGGGTTTTTTGCCCCTTTTATTTTCTGTTCTAGTGTTCTACAGCGCTGTAGGGTGAATATGATTAACAACAATTTAGTATAGGGTTTTGAAAAGCTTAGAAGAGAGGATTTTGAATGTTCAGTACAATATGCTTTTAAATTTATGTTTCAGGAACCAGATAAAAGGATTAATCTCAGAAGTTTTAAAAATTCCCCCTTTAGGGAGAGAGGAGGGCAAGGGTTGAAAAACTACCTATCGGGTACTGTGTTGACTACTTGGACGACGGATCATTAGAAGTCCAAAGCTCAGCATCACACAATATACTCATGCAACAAACCTGCACATATACCCCGAACCTAAAATAAAAAATAAGTAAATTCCCCCTTTGAGTGAAACTTTAAATTTCTATTAATATAGAGGAAATCAAACAAAAATGCACTTGATTTTTACATATGTATGATTAGAAATTATTTTTTAAAAGAATTAAAAATGTATGATGACAAAGCACTTCTTCAACTCTAAATTAATTTTTATTAGTACACACCATCTGAACATAATGCTGGTAACTGGTAACATAAGCTCTTTCCACCTCCTGTAGGCATAACAAGAAATACCTCCTTTCCAGCCATTGTTACGTTAATAGTTTCAAGCTGAAGTGGTCTGAACTTCTGCAGCTTAAAGACGTTTTGCAGAACATCTTTAACTTTACCAGACCATGGAAAATCTAGAAAAAGAAAGATAAGAATCAGACAAACATATAAGACTATTATAGAAGTTTGATAAGAATGAGACAAACATATATAAGACCTCTAATACTTATAGACCATTAAACTTTTATGATAATAATTTTGAGATTAACTCACTAGCTAAGCAAAAACAAATTAAATGATGTGTTATAAGACATAGTAGGGGTCGTGGCTCATGCCTATGCTCTCAACAGTTTTGGGAGGCCAAGGCAGGAGGATTACTTGAGCTCAGGAGTTCGAGACCAGTCTGAGCTCAAGCGATAGCAAGACTCTGTCCCTATAAAAAATTTTTAAAAGTAGCCAGGTGTGGTGCTGTGCACCTGTAGTCCCAGTTACTAGGGAGGCTGAGGAGGGAGGATTGCTTGAGGCTGGGACTTTGAGGCTGCAGTGAGTTGTGGTTGTGCCACTGTACTCCAGCCTGGGGAACAAAGCCAGACCTTATCTCAAAAAAAAAAAAAAAAAAAAGTAACGAATGTAAAAATTTGCCAGTTGAGAATTAACCCACACAAGAGAGGAAGGTGTTTGATCAGGTATTTGAAAAATAGTCTCAGTGTTGATCAGAGAATTTACAGCATCATCAAATACTCAAATATCAGGAACAAAGTGAACAATTATCTGGAATTTTTGGTGAAAATATCTTGTTTAGACGTGAATCATTGAAAAGCAACATCCACAAAAACCACAATTCCTTCTAGAGTTATTCTATTATAATTATCCTATTATAGTATTCTATTTATAATCGATAAACATGATGTTGGATAAGATCTTGGATCATGAAAGGTTTGTTCACCAGGGCAGGAAAATGATCTAAACTTGGCAAGGAGTTTGATTTTTTTTTTCTTGTTTGTTAATGTAGGTAAAGTAAGTATCTCATTTTCTAAGCATGATCAATGTTGCTAGAATAATAATTGGGAAAAAATGTCTCATAATAAAAGCTTAATTTAAAGACTATAGAACACAGGGAAAGAATGATCCACCTGCAAGTTTCCCATTCCACTGGAGAAATGGCCACTTTCACCTCTAAGCCTACTGGAAAGCACTAACCCAGCAAGAATTCATTCTAGCTTTTTAAAAAATGAGAAGAAACAAAACTAGCAAAAAGAAACGTTAACCTTCTTTATTCCAAGCGGCAGGTGAAGAATCATGTTCGTTGCTTGCCCCGGCATCAGAATCCTCCAAACACTGCTTTATTTTCTTGGTTAGGACTTTTTTTTTCTGAATAAGCTCTTGTTGCCTTTCCGTTAGTTCTTGAATTTGAATTTCTACTGCATGTAGCTCGCTGGTTATAGAATCCAGTTCCTCAGTCAGAGCTATGGGAGACAGCGGGGATACAATGATTAGACAGAGTAAATTACAACTTTAGGTTTCCAGATTGATTGTTGGGTGTTCCCCGCCATATCAATTACAGATGAACTTGAAGTAGCATAGCAAAATGGTTAAGAGCATGTTTTTGAGTCATACAGACCTGAGTTAAATCTCAGGTCCTCCTTTTACCTGCTGAGTGACCTCAGGCAAGATGCCTACCTGTATCCCCATATCCCTTCCTGTAAAATGAGGATAATATCTAACTTTCATCGTATTTTTATAAAGAGCTAGTGAGATAATATATTAAGTGTTCTAGACACAGTACCTGGTACACAGTCAAATATTTAATACATGATAATTTTCTTATTATGTAGGAGAGAAGTGGTCTAACAATCTCCTAAATCATTTAAGTAAAATAGACTTTGAAGCAAAAGGAAGCTAATGCCCTAATTACTTTGCTAGTACTTTATTGAAGGCATTCCTATTTGGGCTCATTTGATGGTTGATAAGGAGTTGGTAATTATAAACAAGAGGATGTAGTAAGAGAAATCAAGTGTAGGATTCGAATTGGCATTTTATCTCCTTTGTAACTAATTTATAAAGAAACCTCAGTGTATGATTCTAATCAATCTAAGTATTAAAGTCAAAAAGTGAGATGTTTTTTGATACCACATCAATGGAAGCTAGAAAAATCTTAAGACGTTCTTGGTGCGTTCTCATATACCCGCCTGCATTAATCAGTATACAGGTTTAATGTGTCCCTTCATGAGATAAAATTTATGGTTGTGACTTAAAATAGGATGTTGGGGTGCCTTTTCATTGTACCAATTGCACAGTGAAATTGGTACATTTCGTTGTATCAACTTCATCAATGTTGTACATTGATGTACATGTTATACATCATCCCTTGTATCAACCCTTCCCTACATGACTTTGGGTTAAGTTTGGCCACAGGTGGACTCTGCATGAGATTTAGAAGGCAGAAATAAAGCAGCAGCCAGTTTTACATTGGGATGGTTGGCCTAAGGCCAGGTGCTTCTGCAACTCACTCATGATATTAGCAATCTGCTACCTCACTTTGTTGATGTGGGGCAGAAGCCAGCTCCCCCAGCTCCTGCTAAATCTTTCTCGGTGGAGCAACTTGGCCCACAGCTTCTTTGGCTTCTTGGTCATGTTGCTGAGCAACCCTCTGTGACAAGAACACTAGCTTTTCAGCAGGACACCAGCATCCTAACTTTGTCCTCATGAGTTTCAACTTATCCTTGCAGCTTCCAGCTCATCCATACCCTCCCACACTTCACACCCATCTTCCTTTCTCACTGCTGGTACTGCTGACTTCAGGACCAGAAGCTGACTCAGGGATAGCCGCTTAACCAGCTCCCATGATCACATAAGGTTTAATCCCCATAATAAAACTTACAGCACTCATAATGGTTCAGCATACCTGATTGAACCCTAACCAATACAGAATTTTGATCCACAAGAACAGAAACTTAATAGGTTCTCTGAATTGCTTCTGGGCCACATAGAATTGGTTTTCTGATCTGATTAGATTTCAAGGCATTAATAACCCTGTTTCCACTGATAAAGGGAACATAACTGTTTTATGTCACCATGCAGTGAAAAAAGTTATTTAAGTCATCATCCATAGACACCAGTAGATAAATTCTAGAGAAGGCAAGGCTGTGGGTGACAAAGTGTTTGCTGTTACAGACGTTTTGGTGAGAATAATGGGGTTGACTGGTTGCTTCTAAGTGTGCAAAGAACTCAGGGGAAAAATGTAGGATCTGCATTAAGGGACCTCAAAGTTTCTATGACTGTCCTTAAAAAACCTTATCCCCTATAGGTACAGGGCCAATATTTTGGAAAAAGAGCTGTAAGTCTACATCCTGCAGATGGCTGAATTTCAGTACAAACTGAATTATCAACCTTGCAGGGACTCTTACTATAAAGTCAGCACACTGACTGGGAAGAAGGCTCTGAAATTTGGAGGGGAACATAAGGGCAGACTCCAATGAAGCAGGTTACCTTAAACCACTAAATTATGCCAAGTCTCTTCTAACCTGCCTTCCCTTTCTGAAACAATGTCCTCCTAACTGAAGTCCCCACAATGGTCCTCGCTGCCTTGTATGGGACTGCTAATCCTCCTAAGAATCAGCCTCTACCATCTTTCAGTGCTTTAAGATCCAGGAAGTCCTAGAGGATAAAACACAAAGATGTAACCTGTCGAAAGACATGATACGCACCAAGAGAGCTGCATGTGCCAAAACATATCAACAGAAACTGTGTTCATCCATTTCGCATTGATATAAAGGCATATCCGAGGCTGGGAAATTTATAAAAGAAAATAAGTTTATTTTCCTTATGGTTCTGTAGGCTATACAAGGAGCATACTGCTGGCATCTGCTTCTTGTGAGGACCTCAGGAAGCTTCCAATCATGACAGAAGACAAAGGGGGGCAGGTAAGTCACACAGTGGGAGATGGAGCAAGAGAGAGAGGAGGCAGTGCTAGCCTCCTTTAAACAACCAGCTCTCGCGTGAACTAACAGAGCAAGAACTCACTCATTACCATGGGGAGGGCACCAAGCCATTCATGAGGGATCCTGCTCCATGACCCAAATACCTCCCACTAGGCCCACCTCCAACACTGGAGGTCACATTTCAACATGAGATTAGGAGGAGACACATATCCAAATTACATCAGAAACCTAGAGAATGTATATGAGAATAGATCATAAAGTACTGAAACAGGGTTTATGGAATACAATGTTGAATTAAGCTAAGCTTATTGATATGGGCTCACTAAGAAATTCTGGACTTAACGTTCTACATAGTGGCCAGGAGTGGCTGTAGTAATTTGCTTGGCTCATTGCCTGAAACCTGGCCTCAAAGATGAATGTCAGAAAACTGGGATGGAATAAAATAGGTGTAGCGTCCAGTGAGGCTGGACTTCTGGAATTTCCTGGGTATGCTCTAAAGGACGGTATCCAGAGGCTTAGAGAGAGAGCAGTGCCCGAGTGGATGATCAAATGGATTGATCATCCACTCCCTTGCTGTCCCCCAGGAGAATCCAGAGTCTCCTTTCACCAAGACGGTGAAAAATACAGTCATGAGAGGAGCCCTAGCATCAGCAGAGCTCTTCAGGGATGCTGGGGCTCCCCTGGCTGTTCTCTGTAAGCTAGGAATGACAGTGGGAAATAGCATCTTCCAAGTAGACTACCTGATTCAACGACAATGATGGATTCCAAGGTATGGGGGCTGAACAGCGGCAATTGAATTTATGACCAAAAATAAAGTGGATGTGGTTGCCATGAAGGGCAACAGAGCTGAGGCAGCAATCAGAATAGTCTGACCCACACGATCTTGGATTGGCTAGTTGACTGCGATGTCCCTGAAATGGAAATAGATTACTTGATTTGTATACGCAAAATAAAAAGCTCTGATTCTGGTAAACAGACCCAGAAACACCACAACACAGCGACCATCCTTCGACCAATTTCCAGAATTGAACCAACTTATAGAACCAGAGGCCCTTGAATAAGGCAGAGGTTGGAGCCCCTTGGGGAAGGACTCTACCACACAACTAAAAATATATGTACTGAATCTTCCTACTAGTCTTCACTAGAGACGTTTATGAGGGTAACTGTGCATTAGAAAAAGAGAAATCACTTCTCAGAAACTACTGGACATTAGCTGTGAACTGATGCTAATTCTTAGAAAACCAAAATGCCATGGTGATCCACCAGTCAGAGTAAAAACTCGACTTAAGTGAGGTAATCAATGCAGTTTTGGTTGCCAGAGATTTAAAAGGTAGAAATAAAGCAATAGCCATATTTTCATATTTTCTGTATTTAAGAAAGTCAGTGTAAGGGCAGGCTGGTGATCTCATTGGCATGGGGGAGGAGCAGGCTCAAGTCCAGTGGCTGCTAGTGATATACAGCAGACCTTCTAATCTGCTATGTGATTATTTCCTCTGTTCCAGAATGTATACCGAGAACAGATATATTCAGCAAGTGGCAGAATCCACACATTGGTCTCTTGGCCCATAATTAAGGATTATCATGATAGGAAAGGTCAAGTGGAAGCCAGCAAAACTGCCTTTACCAACCAATACAGCAAACCAAAAATATTACTGCCTACATCAAGGGCTTGAAAGATGTAAGGATAATGACGACTTCCACACTGCATTCAGCTCACCTATGTGGTGTATGCAGAAGCCAATGGATTCTGGAGATTGAGAGTGAATTATGGCAAAATTAATAAGGCTGCGGCTCCAACAGCAGCCACTGTTCCAGCTGTAATTTCATCAATGAGACTGAACACATACCCTGGCATCTGGCTTCAGCTATTGATCTGTTGAATGCTTTATTCTCCATACCCATGTACCTGTTATTATAGCAGAGGGAAACAGTATAGCACAGTAAAAGCAGTTTGCTGAGCCAGCAATGTATCTTTACTCTCCCACCTCAGAGCTGTATCTACTCTCTAGCCCTAATCTAGTCTGCAGGGATCCTGCTTGCCTTTTCATTCCACTAGACATTACACTCGCTCTCTGCATTGATGATATCACGCTTGCCTGACCTGCTGAGCAAGAAGCAGCAGTAGCAGCTACTACAAACAAATTGCTAAGAGAGACTCTTGCCAGATGATATAAGATAAATCCCATAAAAATTCAGAAGCCTGAATTTTTCTCACCTTGGTGAGAGTCAAAGCGTATGGGGCATGTTGAGCGATCCGATCTCTTCTAAAGTGAAGGATAAGTTTCGACATCTGGCCCCTCCTATTACTAAGAGAGCAGCACAGAGCCTAATGGACTACTTGGATTTGGGAGGCAACACACACCTAATTTACCAAGTAACCCCAAAACTTGCCTGTTTTGAGTAGGACCTCGAACAAGAGGTAATGCCATGATACAATCTTCTCTTACCATTGAGCCATATGACCCAACAGATTTGATGGTGCTGTAAGTCTGTGATGAATGGGGATGTTATATGACACCTTTGGCCTATAGATGAGTCACAACAAAGATGATTAGGATTTTGGAGCAAAGCTTAGAGAACTCTTACCCTTTTGGAAACAATTTCTGGGTTGCTCCTGGGTCTTACAAGAGACTAAGTGACTATGTGACCCGTGCTGCCTATCATCAACCAGGTGTCATCTGACCGATCAATTCATAAGGCAGACCTCCATCATCACAATGGAGCTGGTATATGCCAAAGGGAGCAGGTTCTAAGTGAAGGCATGAACAAGAAGTCCGAATGCTCACGCACCATGCTCCCCTTTGCCTCCTCCTCCTGCACCTATGACCTCATGGCGGGATCCTCTGTAACTAAGGAAGAAACAAAATGCAGGCCTAATTTATAAAAGATTCTGCATGATATATTGTCACCACCTGAAAGTGAACAACTAAAGCACTCTAGCGTCTTTCCAGAGCGGCCCTGAAAAATATTGGAGATGGGAAATCCTCCCTGTCAGCAGTAAGCAGTGCACATAGTTACTCACTTTGCCAGAGGAATACATCCACAGTACCATAGGCAATGGTTAATGATTAGCAGGATGGTTAGCAACCTGGAAGGTAGCAAATAGGAAAACTGGTGGCAATGAGGTCTGAGAAAGAGATGTATGTATAGACCTCTCTGAACGGTCAGTGTGAAGGTATTTGAGTCCCATGTTAATGCTCACTGAAAACCACCTCCACAAAGGATAAGCATAATTAATCAGGTAGACCAGATGACCTGGACATGGACCACACCTGTCCTTGCACAACCAAATCAAGAACAAAGTGCCTTCTGCAACATGGACTGTCACTCACAAAGACCCATCTGGCTACATCCACAGCTCAGTGCCCAACCTGCAAACAGCCGATACCAACCTTGAGTTCCAATGGAGGCGCCATTCTCTGTGGGGACAGTCAGATGCTTGATGGCAAAGTGACTGCATTGGAACCGTCTATAATGAAAGGCAGCACTTTGTTCTCACTGATACAGATGCTTACTCTGGATATGAGTTTACCATCCCTGCCTGCAGTGCTCTATCATGTCCACCATCTATGAATTCAGGGAATTCCTACTGACTGTCATCGTATTCCCCACCAAATTACTTCTGACCAAAGAACTCATTTATAGCAAACGAAGCACAACGGAAGGCTCATGTTTAAGAAATTAACTGGTCTAACTATGTTCCCCAACACCCTGAAGCAGCTGGCCTGAGGAAATAATGGAGTGGCATTTTGCAGACTCAATTATGCTGCCGGCTGGTTATCAGCACTTTAAAGGCTGGACTAGTAGCCTCCGGGATATGGCATGTTATACATGAGTGAATAGTGCTGCTTCTCCCATTGCCACAATTCACGGGAATCAGGGGTGGAAATGGGAGTGGAGCCTCTATTACCCTTAGTGATCCACTAGTGAAATTTTTGCTTCCCATCCTTGAAACATCGGACTCTTGCTGGCCTAGAGGTCTTAGTTACCAAGAGAGAAATGCTTGTACCAGGGGAAAAAACAGTAGTTCCATTAAACTGGAAGTTGACTGCTACTTGGCCACTTTGGGTTCCTCATGCCAACAAATGAACAGGCAAAGAAGGGGATTACTGTACTGGCTGGGGTAAGTGATCCTGACTACTAAGAGTAAATCAGACAGCTGCCACACTATAGGGATAAGGAGGAGTATGTCTGGAAAGCAGAAGATCCTCTAAGGCACCTCTCAGTATTCCCTTATCTTGTGATTAAAATTAATTGAAAACTATAATAACCAAATACAGGAAACTACTAAGGCAAGTAGTCCCCACCAAGCAAAGACCCGTTACCAACTGAGAACCAAGGAATATGCAATGGGGAGTTGAAGAAGGCAGTTGTAAAGTACAAGCTATGACCACAGGACCAATTGAAAAACAAGAACTCTAATAGCTGTAAGCCATTCTTCCTTTTTAACATTTGTATATAAACCAAGTTGGGGTTTTTCCATTTATTTGGTCCTTCTCCGATACATTACAGTATTACTAAGGAGGACATGATTCAGCAAGAAGAGAAATAAGCATCACCCAAAGACGAATAAATATAATTTGTACCTGCTCTTTTGGTGAAGGAGTCAGTGTATAGTCAGCTATAACAGAAATAGGCAAAAGAATGATTCTGCTATTGCCTTTATTTGGATACAAATAAGGTGAAAATTAGACACAAAAGGACAAATGTTGTATGATTCCATTTATATGAGGTATCTAAAATAGTCAAGAAACAGAAAGTAGAATAGTGGCTATCAGGGATTAGGAGAAGAGAAGTAATGGAAAGTTATGAATTAATGAGTATAGAATTTTAGTTTGCATAGATGAAAATGCTCTGGAGATGGATAGTGTTGATGGTTGCCCAACAATCTAAATACATTTAATGCCAATGAATTATTCACTTAATAATAGTTAACATGGCAAAGTTTGTAATGTCTATTTTCCCTAAATAAAAAAGCTGAAAAAAATCATTTCTATAATCAGAATTTTTAAAACAAACATTTTTTTTTTCAAATACCATACAAATAGAAATAGAACAGAAGAACAAGAAAATGTAATCATTGCTACTAACCTGAAACGGACGCCATTCTTTTTCTTTCCAAATTTGTTTCTAAAATAATCCAAATTTCTTTCTAAAAATAAAAGCACAACAGTGACAACAAGTTTTTAAAAATAGTACTATTAATGATGTTCACTCAACAGTAATCTGTCATTCCTAAGCATGGAAAATGTTAGAAAGTAAATTATATACTGCAGTGACCTTTCAAATAAGAACCACATGGTTCTTTCAACACTAATTTTTTAAGGAAAACTCTCTATATTTCAGCTTAATAACTCACAACACTCAGAACAACTAACTCCCTAGATTTAAGAGAAGTGTCCAAAGTCACATAAACGCATACATGACAAATACAGTAGCAATAACACTTAGCAAACATCCACCAGATACAAAGTGATGTAACAAAAAACAGCAAATATTCAACAGTTCTAGCACCCATGGCTATGTGACTAAATTACTATGTTACACAAAGTTACACATGCTGTTCCTCTAAGCCTCTTTCCCTACTTGTAAAACTGGGAGGACTGCAATCTTATAAATTGGATAGATTCAAGTGTACCAGACTAAGCAAAATACATCAACATAAATAATAAATCAATCATCTAACATTTTATTGAGCACTTGCTTTAAATAATTACAATATAAGCTCAATCTTAAAAGAGAAATTGGTATTCTATAGAAATGCTAGATTTTAAAAGGAGAGAACACAACAAGGTTAGAGGTGGGGGGAGGGGAAAATGGTTTGTATTAATGAACTCTAAATATCTATGAATGACTAAAACCTAAGCATGCATATGGACAAGTGGAAAATGGGGCTTGAGAGTAGAAACTTTAAATGCCCCATAATCCTAAAAACACCTCTTCTATCTCTCTAATATGGACACTTTCTAAAACTAAGATGCTCTCCAAAAGTCACTTCTGCAACACCTATCCTTAGACTGCTGACCTTACGCCCTTTCTACACAGAATTCTGAAGCCACCACTAGGCTGCAAAGATAGGCTGACTCTTTTTTGCCTTGCTAAAGAATGTGGAAATAACCACACCATTAAAAGAAGGCTAAATAGGAGAGTAAACCAAGGACTTCTAATTCTTTATACAAACATCTCTTCACGTAATGGAAATGTAACATTCCATCCATAGACTGTAAGGTCCTTTAGCAGGGCTGGAGTTCAATCTCTTCACCTTTGTATCCGCACAGCCCAGCAAAATGCCTTGATATAGTGAGGGCTCAGGTTTGCTAAGGCGGCAGGAGCTGTTTCTACCCTTAAGAAAAGACACAGTCTATATATCCAATTTCCCCCCACGATTTTAAATGACTCCTTTGATTATGCCGTTAAAAGACTGCTCCTTCCCAAAATAATGTGATTTGTTAGCAGAAGATATCTCAACATAAAATGTATCCAGAAATTGAACTACAGCGGGTTTGTCACTCAGAAGTATAAGCTAGGCATCCACAAGAAAAATGTTACAAGGTGACAGCCAGTCATCAATGTTGGAGGAAACGCCACTGAGGTACCACAGGCTAAATCCTCTCTCTCCCCGCCACCTGCATTTAGAGGCAATAGTAATTGAATATTAGTAACGCCCTTCCTTCCGCTGCTGTGAAGCAGGGGATGGAAGAAGCATCCCCAGTAGTATTTACCAACAAATGGCAGCTGCTAATAAACAGGCTTCGGTGGCCAAGGCTCCTGCATGGAAAAGAGTGGGGAGATCAAAAGACCGGTCAGCAGGCGAACGTGCCCCTAAAGGCCCGAGTTCTCGGAGCAGAGCAGTGATTAACGTTCCGGTTTCTCCTCCGCCAATGTGTGGGCGAAAGGAAGTGACCCGCTACAGACCGGCCTCGCCCTCCAGCAGGAAAGGGAAGAATGAAACAAGAAACGCACACCCTTGACCCTTCAAAGCTGTAACAGTAGTTATCCCAGAGCCTCTCCCCACTGAGGAGCCCAGTCTGACTCTCCGGTGTCTGACTCTCCAGTGTCCGACTCTCCTGTGTCCGACTCTCCGATCTCCAACTCTCGGATCTCCGACTTCAAAGCACCCAGGCCTCGAGCCGATCTTTCTTCTGCTCGGGAGTAAAATCTTCCCGCCACCCAGCTGAGAGCATCCACCCTTCCGGGTCGGTCCGTTCAGCCAATCACAAATAACACCCTTCTCTAATTGGTCAAGGGGTGTGGTCACCATGAGCGTCACCGAACAACATTACGATTTATTGGTTGAGATTGGAAGGAGGTTTCGCCAATAGGAAGCGGTCTTAAAGCGGCAGTGAGGGTGGCTGCGTGTTTCCGGAAGACGTGGCGGCTCTCGCCTGGGCTGTTTCCCGGCTTCATTTCTCCCGACTCAGCTTCCCACCCTGGGCTTTCCGAGGTGCTCTCGCCGCTGTCCCCAACACTGCAGCCATGATCTCCTTAACGGACACGCAGAGTAAGCACCTGCTCCGGGGTCCCCGCCTCGAGCCGTGCACACCCATCACCTGGCTGGGTCTTGCCCCTCCACAGGGTCAATGAATGAAGCTCCGGGTTGGGGGCGGCGGCCTGCGAGACAGAGCTAGGGCTGCTGGGACCCTAAGGGGCTGCCTTGGGGATGCCGGGGCTAGACTTGCAGTGGCGGACCTGACCTGGGAGAAGAGTCTGTGGGGCAGGGTGGGACGCCGTAGCTGGGGAGGGGAGCTTTAGCCGAGTCTGTCTCATTCCAGGGTCGCGATGATCTCCTCATCCCCAGTGAGATAGGCGCTTTGTTCTGGGGGCTCGCCACAAGAGAAAGTTTGCGTGGTGCCCACGGCCCACTCTCGGGATCGTTTATGCGCATGACACACTTCGGGTCCTCTACAAGTCCCTGGCTGGCTGGTTATTTGGGAGGCGGTATTTTAAATGTCACCTACAGTAGGCTCTTTTTGAAAATGTGCTTACGCTTAAATGTGGCATTTTGAATATTCGCTTTTTGCCAGTACTGTAAGCAACCTTTTAGAAATCTCTTGAAACATTCTCACTTTTCTACCTGCTAAAGTTTCAAGCAGTAGAGAAAAGCCACTTTGTGTTCCATTAAAGGATGTATTTCGTTGGTATTGTATATTGTGCTTTGTGGCTTGTTTTGTTATTTTAGCATCACTCTCTGCCTGCCACAGAGTTCTCCAGGCCTATTTCATCTCTAAAGCTAGCATTGATACCGGTTTCCTTTTCTCTCATTATAATATTTCCACTTTCCTACTGCTTTTTGTTAATGTTAATAATTTTTGTATTTATGTCTGCCCAAGCTCTATGCCTCATCTTTTGATGGTCGTAAGAGTCCCTTTTTGTCTCACTTTGCTTTATCTGCCACGCCTTTCATTTCATTCCAGTTAACTGAGATTTTCAAGATTTTAAGACTTAAACAGTGTATTGAAGTAAAAAATAGAAGTTTATTTAAAATGCCCTATTTTAAAGTGGAGTCTTCATGTGTAGATTCAAGTCATGGCAGACCAACTTCACAGAGCTTCTAAGGCCTCCTACACACACTGCCACCCCCCAGTCAGACTGTCTTCCCTCCTGAGGCTGGACTGCGGCTGCTCCTTGGGGCCACCTGCCCCAACGTTGCCGCCCACTTTGGTCCATTGACCTGGCCTATTCTGATCAAAGAAAATAAAAATGTAGTCTTAAGCGGGTAGGAATCTGGTGTAATAATAATTACTGGCAATTACATAAAGGTATTTTGTTTCAGTTTACCATGTGCTTTCATGTGAATCGTTATGCATTATTCTTACAAGACCCCTGTAAGGCAAACAGAAGCATGCCCCTTTCATAAGTTAAATGAGGCACAAAAGAAATTCAGTGCATGGTCATAAAAAAAGTGACAGAAACAAAACTTGATCCCAGGTGTGCTGGCTCAGAAACCTTTTGCACTGTACCCCACTATCACCTAAGAAGACTTGATATAAACTTTATTTAAGATCTGAGAATAACCTGTGCATAGAAATTATATTTTTGAAGACTTAATATAGTAATGAGTGCCTGCTTTACATCCTTGCAAAAACAAGAGGGTGGAGTTGGACTGTGGGCATTCTCCCTGAGAAGCATTCTCCTCACTTCATTAAATTTTGTGAGAGCAATGAAACTTTTCTCTTTGCTGTTCACTTGTCACATGTTTTAGGTGAAACAGCGGATTGGAACATAAAACGATTAGTGAACCAAATGCATTTTGGATTTCAAATTGTGTTTGTGTGTGAGTGTGTTTAACTGCAGGGATTGGCCATCATTCAAGTGATTTGTCAGGATTATTCTGGGATTTTGGTTTTTAGAGAGAGTGACCAAGCACCGATCAGAGTAGAATAAATGGAAATTCATGATTATTTTAAGGGATTCTAGGACTTTCCTCATCGCCTTCCCACCCGGCCCCAAAAAAAGGCAAGACTTATTCAGAGGGACGGAGGAGGGGCATGCTGCCTCTGAATCTTCATTTCATCACGTTGTCTAAAAGTCTAGTGTGATAATTGCGTTCTCCAGTACAGTTAATGTTCAATTGAATTCTTTCTTGACTTCTGTTTTTCAAAGGGCATAGTAAGAAAGACAATGCTGCTTTTAAAAAATTGTGAATAAGATATCAAAATGCTAACAGTGTTTACCATTAGGTAATGCATGTCTTTCCTTAAAAAATTTCCGCAGTATGCTCCTTATGTTAGACAGATTCGTTTTATTAAATTGTTTTTATATTTTTTTAAACTTGTGGGTAGTTTTTTAAACGTGGGAGGAGTGAAGGAAGATAAGTTTTACTTCTGATGGAAAGAAGGCAGCTCTGTGCAGGGCTTTTGATAGCCAGAGGGCTTATGAATGCATAAGGATAGGGAAAAGGGGGATCCTGGAGGTGAGAAAAAGGCATGAGGCCAATTTGAGACTTTTGACCGGTGTGGATCAGGAGCTACTTGGCAATGTCATTGCCAGTGCCAGTTGTGGCAAAGATGTTTTGGGCAATGTCTTCCACTGGACTGTACTGGATAAAGTAGTGGAATATTTTGGTTCCCATGTTGTAGCTGTAGGACGGTTGTCTGTGGAGTGAGAAGACTGGTTGAATGCTGACTCCACAGACTGTTGTACCTGCCTCCATACCACACACACATTTTTGCTGCTTCTGTGATCAAGAACAAGTTAACTTAATACCTCTAGGTCCACGGTTGCACATATGAACCATGGGACTAGTGCTACTTTTAACCTCACAATTTTGTTAAAGAAATTATAAAATTTTTGTATAAACACTTCATGACATGGTAAACCATACTCAGAGATTGTCCTTTTTCACTGCAGTTAATTTTTAATAGTTCTACTTGGCTATGTTAGATAACAAGCTAATATTAAACTTGAATCCCCTAAAAGACGCGCCCTCCAGACGTTCAGTATACTCCAGTGTCCTTGAGTTTCATGTAACCAAACACCTTTAACCTAAAAACTAAACATTCTGTGGGAAGAACTATGGCATTAATGGTTAAGCACATAAGCTTTGGATTCAGAAGACCTTGGTTCAAATGCTTCATTAGAAGTGTGGCTTTGGGCAAGTTAAGTCAACTCTCTAAACTTCATTTTCCTCCATCTTTGAAAAGATGTAATTATACCTGCATTCCAGTAGCACTGGAAGTATTAATTTATATAAGGTATGCGAAGCACTTCATAAGGCCTAAATTGTGGTAAATTCTCAGTACATAGTAGGTGTCTTTCCATATACTTTCCTTTCTAAAAACATCTCACAATGTTTATGTAATCATCAAGGTTATTTGTGAAAAGATAGAAATTAGTCATATTCAACCAACAAAGCTGCCGATGTTTAATCCTAACTACTAAATAGTTACTAATAGAATTTTACTCGCTCTTTTGTCCATATTTTCCCCTATGAAATTAAGTCCACTATCCAAACAGCTAATTTGGTAAATTATCTTAAGGCATTTGATCATGAAAGTATCAGCCTCAAATTTTCATAGGAATGTGTGTTGAATACGCTTTACTGGTGTATTTATAGACCAGGTACCTGAATTATTTTAGACTAACTTTGGGAACAAAAGATGTCTGGAATGGAAGACACTAGTTATTAGGAAATTGAGCAGGTGGGGAATGTAGAAAAAGCTAAAATTAATGCAAGTTTTCAAATTATCAGAACATTTTATATGACTTAAGATTTTTTAAAGTAGCTGTGACCTAGATTTTAGCTTTCTGGAGCTGAGGCAAAAAGTTAAGCAGTAGATCAGAAATCAGTGATAGGGTATTTTAAATTGTGCTTCTAAAAATACAGTGGCTTCTACTCTGACTCATTTGTATGCAGATTGTGCTTCTAGCTAAACTATGGATTAGTGACTATTTTCTAAAATCAAAACTAAAATGATCAAGGAGGTAACTTAGTGAATTGCGCTTTATAACATTAATAGAAGAGTACATCTGTCACCTTAGACGTTGAGACTTTTCATATTAAAAACATAAGACCTAGGGAATGCACAGTCAATAAAAGTATTAATTTTATATGCAAGATAAACATAGACTTTAAAGTTTGCACCTCGTCTACCACTATATATTCAGTACCTGGAACAGTTCCTTGCATCTGGCAATTGATCAACATTTCTTTGTTTTTTAATGAAACACTAAAAACCTAGAATATTAATATTAGGTAAAACAGGATTCTTTGAAACTTTGGAGAGGTGATTTTAGGACTGTAGACCAAATATGTAAGTGGATTTGTAGTTTGGGTAAATGTGTAGATAAGTCCATAATAAGTAATCAAGAAATTAAAAGTGACGCCTGACCTTGTGAAAATATGATTTTGAGAAGACTGCTACCGTGATTTTCAAAATATTTCTTGTTGCCATTGTGACAAGCAGTGTATAATTGACTAAAGGATATTGTGCTGACCTACCATAACATTTCTAATGGAGTAGAGAAGGAATTAATTTTAAGGAGAGTAAGAAGGAACTGTAGATATCATGCATATAAATAATAATTATAGAATGTGAAAGGAGATAAGTAATTAAAGGAAATCTATACATTTATGTCTGATGTGAGAGAGCTTCCTAGAAAGAAAAAAACAAATTATATATATACAAAACCAAAGGTTTAGAATCCTGATTTATCTTTTTTTATTATAGCTATGTCTGAGAAATGCTATCTCCCATATAAGGATTAGAAATTTTCATCATGTTTTAAATTTTGAAATAATTTGCTGATAATTAATTTGTTATAGAGCTAAATAAATGTCATTATGAAGTTAACCTGCAATGTTGAGTACCTGTTTTCGTATATCTGTGAAAGGAAAACTGGAAAGTTTTCTTAGTTTACAGGGATGTTAATGTGAGTTTAATTTTTCTCTGCCCTTAACCATATAACTTATATTGCAGAAATTGGAATGGGATTAACAGGATTTGGAGTGTTTTTCCTGTTCTTTGGAATGATTCTCTTTTTTGACAAAGCACTACTGGCTATTGGAAATGTGAGTTTTTAAATACATATTTTAACTAAATTTATAAGGAAATTTTACCTACGAATGAATTATTACCTGCTATTAAATTTGGGGAAAATAATTCACTATTACTCATAAGTAATTCCTGTTACATTCTCTATTTCCATCAGGAATGAAACCTGTCAGCTTTCTGTTTAAATAAAAGGTAAACACTTAATGAGGTTTTCTAATTCCATAACTACTCTGTTAAGTGTTTGTCATGAGATTTACAATACATTAAATGAAGGCTGCCTCTAAATAGGAGTTCAAAATAGATGACTTGATAGTCTCATGCCTTGATACATTCACTGAAGTATTTTTACTTTAAACATCCGAGACTTTGCATTTGATTCAGCTGCATAAGATAGATTTTTTGTACCCTTTTAAAAAATATATCTCTATGTTAATGGTTGACTTGCTTAGAAAGGGATCTATGTTGTTTATTTGGAATGTGTACTATGCTATTCATGTGTGGAGGTTATGATCCGGAAATAAATAATAACCCTTCTAAGGCAGTGAAGACACTGTGTGTATATATATATATATATATATGTATACAGACACACGCACACACACATATATATATTTGGGTTTTTAATTGGAAATGGGAAAAGATAAAAGATAGCAAAATTGTTCAAAATTGATGTCTTAATAAATGATAATAGCATTGCTATCCTAGAATATGAAGCTTAACCATTAGGCTTAATCTATATTTGTGTGAAATAGTTTTCACTAAAGAATGTTAATGGAGAGGGCAAGTATTTGGAAAGAAAACCTGGGGAAAGCAAGCTCTTAATACATCACCATTTCTTGTCCACAGAATACATTCAAAATATTTGAAAACACATGGTTGTATTTTTATTTCTGCTGCCACCAGATATTCTAGAATTTATAAAACTAGAATCTTCTTGGCTTCCCGTTGTTTCTTCTGCTATCAACTTAGCCATGTCAATATTTCTCCCATCCATAGAAACTCCTGTAGCCTATGATGAATATTTCAGAACCAAGAGGAATACCCTTGGGTGACATATTTATGGGCAGCTTTCCTCTTTATGCCTTGCCAACTCATCTGCTTGACTAAGCCCTCCTCATCCAGCTAAAACTAGGAAAACTACTGCAGACACAGATGCCCCTTGGTAACGTCTAATCTTTCTTTGTTTCTCTTTTTCTCCATTTAATCAAGATAGAAGAGGAATGAGACAAGTGGAACAAAACTACAACTTTAACATGCATAACCCCCTCCTTGGTTCTGCTTCTTGGTTGTACATTACAGTTCTGTCTGGCCAGTTGCCCACATGAAACCAAACAAATGTGCTTCTTTTTTTATATTTAGCTTTGATTTTACTTTTAAAATTTATGCAGTGTGTTTAACTACCTTTTCCGTGTTGTATTTTTTTTCTCTTTTAGGTTTTATTTGTAGCCGGCTTGGCTTTTGTAATTGGTTTAGAAAGAACATTCAGATTCTTCTTCCAAAAACATAAAATGAAAGCTACAGGATTTTTTCTGGGTGGTGTATTTGTAGTCCTTATTGGTTGGCCTTTGATAGGCATGATCTTCGAAATTTATGGATTTTTTCTCTTGTTCAGGTAAGGTATATTATTGTCTCTTTCAGTAAACCAGTGCGTCAGATAGTTAGTACAAAAACTCAGATATTTACATCACTTGGAGTAAGATGATGATCATTTCCTTAACTTTATTTAAGTTGAATCTTTTATTATAGTTTTAGATGAAGCAACTATAAAAATGTTTATCAAATGTAAATGATTGCCTAACTAATGGTATAAATTATCTTGTATTGTCAGCACAATAAAGTTCATTTTATTGGCATTTTAAGGCACCATCTTTATGTTTGATATTTTTATCAACTAAATAGTGGTTGGTGCTAGGTAGGTAGGTAGGTAGGTAGATAGATAGATCGAGCCAGCATTTTAGTGTGTAGAATCTTATACTTCGTAGTTACTACTACTTGATCCAAATTTATTTAGCACATATACATATTAGAAGATTGTTTACCAAATACACCACTATGGGAGATGTTGATCAGGTAATATTTTGTAAATGCCAATTAGCAGGTAAGCAATAGTATGTGTATCTATCTATGTGAAAATAACTTTGGCTGGGTGTGGTGGCTCACCCCTGTAATCCCAGCACTTTGGGAGGCCAAGGCAGGTGGATCACCTGAGGTCAGGAGTTCAAGACCAGCCTGGCCAACATGGCAAAACCCCATCTCTACTAAAAATACAAAAATTAGCCAGCTGTGGTGGTGCGTGCCTATAATCCCAGCACTCGGGAGGCTGAGGCAGGAAAATTGCTTGAACCTGGGAGGCGGAAGTTGTAATGAACCAATCACACCACTGCACTCCAGCCTGGGCAACAGAGCGAGACTCCATCTCAAAAAAAAAAAGAAAATACCTTTAAGTAGGGTTGGGCTTAATTATTTATTCCAACAGTGCATATCCTTTGTCTTCTATCTGCCAGGCACTGTATTACCCACAGGAGACATAAAAATAAGTACCAAATCTGCTTTAGAAAATCTCTCATTTCTATTATGGGAAGTAGGCTCTAAAAATACCAGTAGGATATAGTCATAATGCCATTATAAATGTATATGCAGAATATTGTAGGAGCATGATTAAATAATTAGTAAATTCAGGGAGAGGTAAGAAATGTTAACTGATAAACTGGGCTTTGAAGAATGGGTAAGAATTTATCCTATAAATGAGAAAGGGAATGACAGTTAGCAGAAGGAACAGACAGGGCCATGAAAATACACAGCTTGTTCTGAAAAGAATGAATACTCCTATAGAACAGGAGCATATGATCAGTTGAAGGAGATGGTTGGTAATGAAACTGAAAATGAAGTCTGCAGCCAGGTTGCAAACTTCCTTTGATGACTTATTAAGAAAAGTATATCTTAACCTGTAACCAAATTTGGGCTGGGGGAGCAGTGTTTGGAGAAGGCTGGGGTAGTGAGGCACAGGTATTTTTAGGCCAGAGGTGATACACGGGGCAGATGTTTTAGGGAGGTTGTTCTGCTACCAGGATAAAGTAGGTATTAAAGAGAAAAACTGAAGTCAGGGGAGCCAGTCAAGAGGCTGTTAATACAATACAGAGTATAGAGTGATAAGATTGGAATCTTGGGGTACTCTTGACATTTTAGGGTGGGCAGAGAAAAAGAAGAAAACACTAGAAGAAACGAGGAAAAGAGGTGGGAGAAGAACTAGGAGTAAAGCTCATAGTGGCTAAGAGAGAAGAGAGTAGAGAAGAGGAGTTTGTGTCAGCAGATGTATCTTGCAGCAGAAAACTTAAGCATCTTAAGAACTAAGAAAATCATTGGCTTTCTTAATTATGTAGGAATTTTAGTAATGAAAGTTAAAAGCCAAAGCTAATCTTTGAGATGAATAAAAAATGGGAAGTCTTAGTATCATTGACAAGCTTGGAGTAATACATAGGTTTTAGGTTTAGAGAGCTTTGTGGTATAAATACTAGTTTTTGTTCTTGGGTTTTGTTGTGTTCTGAGATATTCTGAGCTGGAGATTTAGTGCCAAGGGTCTTTGGCATTGTTTTTCTAGATATTTATAATCCTAAATAATGACATATGAAATCACACATTTTTATGTTTTAAAACAATACTTAAAATAAAAGTGATCTTTTGAATTCATTACTACTGGGAAATAATTGTGATTTTCTTTGAAACACACACATATACCATCAACATAAATACTTGTCTAACTTAAAAAATTCTACTTTCTGTTTAATTCTTTATTTTGACTTCTGCGGATTCATAACAGAATCTTATTGCTTAATTTCTGAATTCTATTCATGGTAGTATTTTCAAATCCCTATCTAACTCTGTGAAGAAAACAGCTTTTTTTCTGTACTCGTCTTACCACAATCAACACAGAAGACTGCTGTGACCAAATGTGTGGGGGGTTTTCCCCATACAGCAATCAAACAATTAGTTGTCTACAACAGACAACAGCTGAGTGTCTTCCCAATGTAGTTCTGACACTGTCTGCATGGAGATAGCTCCAGATCACACAGGTTGAGGGCTCAGTCCCACAACAGTCCTCTACTCCCAGCGATGCCAGCCACAAGCCCCAGGTTGTTTTATTCATGCTTCTGACTGACCAGCTCTAAATTGGGGTTCCCACGATCCCCTGTTTGGATCTGACTAATTTACTAGAGAGGCTCACAGAACTCAAGAAAACACTGATGTTTTCTAGTTTATTATAAAGGCATTACAAAGGACACAAATAAAGAGATGCGTAAGGCAAGGAAAGGGGAAAGGGTCGCAGATCCCCCCCACCCTCCCCAACCCACCAGCCTCCGAGAACCTCCTTGTGTTCAGCTATTCGGAAGCTCCCTGAAAACTGTCCTTTTGGGTTTTTATGGAGGCTTCATTACTAGGCATGATTGATTAAATTATTGGCCATTGGTGATCAGCTCCACCTTCAGCCCCTCTCCCCTTCGTGGAGGTTAGGAGGTAGGGCTCAAATTTCCAGCCCTCTAATCTTGCCTTGGTCTTTCTGGTGACCAGCGCCCATACTGAAGCTACCTAGGGGCTGCCACCCATTGATCACTCATTAGTATACAAAAAGACATCACCTTGTAGGGACTCTAAGTATTTTAGGAGTTGTAAGCCAGAAAATGAAGTCAAAGACCGAATATATATTTCACAATATCACAGTACATATTTTAACACCCAGGAAAAGTTTACTTTCTTTGCATTTTTAAAATAAACTATTTCATTCTCTTCCTATACTAAGGTAGCTTAACTGATCTACTGTTAATTTTAAACTGGTTAGAAGCTGTGGAACTTCTGTAGACTTGTGTTTCTACCAAGAAAGAATGAGACATACTGTGAGGATCAGTATCTGGCAGGCAGTCTCTTAGTGTTAACTAAATGTTTTGACTCTTAGTACTTATTTAGTAAATGATAGCTATTATTATTTTCATGGTTCTACACATATGGTCTCAACAGCCCCTTTCTTTTGATCAGTTTCACCCCACACAACTCATAGTTGGAGAAATCTTCAGCAGTTGAGCTAACTCATAATCTAAATTATAGCTAGGCCTCATGTACTTCTCACATTTTTACCAACAATCACAAAATTTTTAATTAAATTTGTAGTTATTTCTAAGTTTGAAGTCCCTCAATTGTTCAGAATTTTAACAGGATACTTTCTTTTTCTTTGGTTAGCAATTATTTTGAAAATAGAAAATGTAAATATTAAGGACCTTTTTTTCCCTCTCCCAGGGGCTTCTTTCCTGTTGTCGTTGGCTTTATTAGAAGAGTGCCAGTCCTTGGATCCCTCCTAAATTTACCTGGAATTAGATCAGTAAGTCATCATATATTTAGCAATATATATTTTAAGCCAACAGAATACGTATTTTATGCTTTTTACTTCTAGAAATTTGAGTAATTGAAACATGGTTAACTGATGAGTTTTGTATTATGATATAGTTACCTCACACAGATCATGAGTACCATGAAGACCAAAAAATGAATATTGCTAAACCTATAAAACATGAAATTTTGTTTTACTATATCCATTTCTAGATCCATATTCTCTTTTTTAATGTTACTCAGATTTGATATGCTATGCTACCTTTCTCTCTGAGAGTTCAGGGCATTTTTTATTTAACTTTTATATAATCTTTAATTTTAGTAGCAATAATGTAAAAAGGAAACCATTATTTCCTGCAAATATTTTCTTTCTCCACCAAGTAGCCTAGATTAAGACAGTTAAATAAGGCCGGGTGTGGGGGCTGACACCCTGCACTTTGGGAGGCTGAGGTGGGTGAATTGCTTGAACCTAGGAATTCGAGACCAGCCTGGGCAACATGGTGAAACCCCATCTCTACCCCCGAAAATACAAAAATTAGCTGGGTGTGATGGTATGCGCCTGTTGTCCCAGCTACTCGAGAGACTGAGGTGGGAGGATTGGCTTGGGCCTAGGAGGTCAAGGCTGCAGTGACCCATGATTGTGCCACTGCACTTCAGCCTGGGTGGGTGACAGAGTAAGACCCTGTCTCAAAAAAAAAAAAAAAAGAGTTGAATAAAGCAGTATTATACTGGGATTCAGATGGAAAGAGTCTATTGCCAGCTCTGTTTACAGTTTGAACAAGCTTGTCAAATTTGTTTTCCAGTGTGTGCCTTGGTTTCCATCTTGATAAAATAAAAGGAATCAAATCAGACAAAGGTTAAAGAGAACATTTGCAAAATTAACAAATAGAGTTTCTTCCTTTTATTCAATATTCATTCAACAAATGTTTCATACTAAACTGCTACCTTGAAGGTAGTAACATCTTTTGGTGGAGTCTTAGAAGGCCATTCAGAATTCAGCTTATTTTTTGCCACCTTAGGAAAAGCTTTCCTGACTCCCTGTGGCTGGCTCGGGGTGTGCTTCCATAACATTCCTGTGCACACCTCTGTTATAGCATTTACCTCTGTTTTTTTCTTTGTTTTTGTTTTTGTTTTTCTTAGAGACAGGGTCTCACTATGTTGCCCAGACTGTTCTCAAACTCTTGGGCTCAAGCAATCCCCCATCTCAGCCTCCCAAAGTGCTGTGTGAGCCGCTATATAGGTGTGAGCCACTACGTGCAGCCTTACCTCTCATTTAATTGTCAAAAAAAAAAAAAGCCTTCAGGCCATGCATGGTGGTTCACTCCTGTAATTCCAGCACTTTGGGAGGCCAAGGTGGAAGGATTGCTTGAACCAGGAGATCAAGGCTGCAATAAGCTATGATCACACCACCGCACTCTAGCCTGGGCAATAGAGCAAAACTTTGTCTCGAACAAAAAAGAAAAAAGAAAGGAAAGGAGAAAGGGAGGCACTTCCATGTAAAACTACAGTCCTTGAGGGCAGAGACAGATTGTATTTTAGTCATTGTTCTATCCCCAGTGACTAGCATAGTATCTGGCCTATAATGGAAACTCAAAATATTTTCTGCTAAGCAAGTGAGCGAAGGATGGCATTTTGTTGACCTTAGGGAACTTGCTCAATTTCAAGACAACACTAGATGACTGTTTCTTAGCCTACCTCCTCAGTTTCAAAACTAAACCAAAATCCTTAATTTCTAAAAGAATCTAGATGATCTAGAATTCAGCTGAGTTGGCTACAATCCTTTTGGCTCTAGGTCCGACCCATATCAGAAGTATTCATATCCTTCTTTGGATTGGTTTCATAGGTCCAACTCTGTCCTAAATAAGTAGGATAAAGTAGCTTTAAAGACCACAAGTTCCAATTAGGTTCCAGGGAAGTTAATCAACTTTCTAAAGTTGTTCACAGATTTTTATAGATGTTTCTAGAGAGAAAGTTCATAGCATTTATTGAATTCTCAAAGAGCTAAAGAATGGCTTACCTATGGAAAAATAAGTACCACTATAAGCCTAATCCTATTTCCATCCCCAGGGTAATTTTAGGATCAGAACCTTACAGCCAAGACAACCTAAATATTTCAAGTTACCTTTGGGGAGAGATTGTTGTGCTTTCTCTCCACTTAAATTTACCTTAACATTCTAATAAATCCGTGTATTCTTCGAGAGCAACTTTTAGTTTCAGTTGCCAGTCACCTGTTTGTGATAATATAACAAAACGTTGGAATGTAGGCTTATAGGGGTATACTCTGATTTCATTTGCATTAATCTGCAAATGCATACAGTAGTGAATGTTACTTATACCTAAAATGGCTTTTGAATGTACTGAAACTTCTAGTTACAGAGTCATAATCATTATTTGTGCCCTTAATTTAAGGATTCTTAAGAATTTGCATAAATGGACACCCAATACAATAGACAATGTTTCTTATCATTATTCATCATGATAAGTATTTATGTAAAAATGTGAATTGTGAAATAAAATAAATGATCAGGTGATTGCTAGAATTTGGTAGTATAACCACCTGGGTTATATAACTTTTAATGTCTCTACCAGTTATATACAATATCAGTCTTTACATCACCATCTGGAATGTTAAAAAAAACAAACAAACCCAACTGCTTTATGTTTGGGGTGGAGTAACCAAAGTAAATAACCACTTACAGTAATGTGTGTTAAAATTTATATTCAATAATTATAAATTTATGCTTACATCATTAAATCTATCTTTAATGTCATTACCACTTTCAATCCAACGTCCAGAATACACATTTAAAGTATTTTTAGTCAATAACTGTTGTTAACTATTGAACTTAATGGAGTTAAATCTGTTTGTTCAAAGACTACATAGGCCCCGAAGAGATCCACAGTAATGGTCAGTTGAAATATCTTATTGGGTTCATTAATGCATGAATGGCTGACATTTCAGTTTTTTTATGTTTTTATTTTTTATTTTTTGTTAAGCTAGCAGTGTTATCTTCATCTTATACAATTTCTTTATTCATTGTGTTGCATTTTTCATGTTGCACCCTTGAACTCATATGTATAACATGTCATGCAAAAAACAACTTTTAGAAAAAAAAATGTTATACACATTTATGTATCAGAAGATGATGGTGAGTAGTACTGGATTAGCCATTGTCAGTCATACCTTAAATTTCCACAACTCTTCTTGTAAGGCTGGGTTTTTAAAATCAACATTTTAAATATTGATATAATGTTTTGTAATGTTCCAGACTTTCTTTAATTATCTGTTTTTCTTCTCCTTACAGTTTGTAGATAAAGTTGGAGAAAGCAACAATATGGTATAACAACAAGTGAATTTGAAGACTCATTTAAAATATTGTGTTATTTATAAAGTCATTTGAAGAATATTCAGCACAAAATTAAATTACATGAAATAGCTTGTAATGTTCTTTACAGGAGTTCAAAACGTATAGCCTACAAAGTACCAGCAGCAAAATAGCAAAGAAGCAATGAAAACAGGCTTCTACTCAAGTGAACTAAGAAGTCAGCAAGCAAACTGAGAGAGATGAAATCCATGTTACGATGCTTATGAAACTCTTGAAGGCTATTTGTATTGTTTTTCCACAATGTGCGAAACTCAGCTATCCTTAGAGAACTGTGGTGCCTGTTTCTTTTCTTTTTCTTTTGAAAGCTCAGGAGCATCCATAGGCATTTGCTTTTTAGAAATGTCCACTGCAATGGCAAAAATATTTCCAGTTGCACTGTATCTCTGGAAGTGATGCATGAATTCAATTGGATTATGTCATTTTAATGTATTAAAACCAAGGAAACCCCATTTTTGATGTATGGATTACTTTTTTTTTTGTAAACATGGTTAAAATAAAACTTTTGTGGTTCTTCTGAATCTTAATATTTCAAAGCCAGGTGAAAATCTGAACTAGATATTCTTTGTTGGAATATTCAAAGGTCATTCTTTACTAACCTTTAGTTCCCAAATTATAACTGACTAAGTTTGGTCAGCAACATACTCTAGAAATTCTCATACTTCTTGGGAGTCTGCCCTCCTAAGTATCTGTTTATATCATTCATTACATGTAAGTATTTAACAAAAAAGCATTCTTGACCATGAATGAAGTAGTTTGTTTCGTGGCTTGTCTCATTGAATAGTCTTGTTGAAGATACTAAATGATGCAAACCAAATGGATTTTTTCCATGTCATGATGTAATTTTTCTTTCTTTTTTTTAATTTTAGCAGTGGCTTATTATTTTGTTTTTCATAAATTAAAATAACTTTTGATAATGTTTACTTTAAGACATTAACATGTTAAAAGGTTAAACTTAGGCTATTTTTAAAGGGCTATTCATTTAATCTGAGTTTTCCCTTATTTTCAGCTTTTTCCTTTTAAGCATGACATATCCTTCATATGATCACTCGAGTTAATTACAAAATACATGAGTTCACATGCTAAAGTTATTTCACTGTAATTAAACTGGCTATAGTTTCTTAAGAACATGACACTAAAAAAAAAATGTGTTCTTTTTTCCACCATTGCTGATTATTAGACAGTAGGAAATAGCTGTTTTCTTTAGTTTTACAAGATGTGACAGCTTTAGTGATAAATGTAGGGAAACATTTCAACAGCGATAGTACTATTTGTTTTACCACTGATTGCGCTGTTTCCTTTTTTTAACAGTTGCAAAGCTTTTTAATGCATAAAAGTATAATTGAAATGTGTGGTATTTATTTACAAACATGTCTACAAAAATAGATTACAGCTTATTTTATTTGTAGTTAAATCTCTTGATACACAGAGAACTCCCAGTCTTGCTCATCTAAATAAGGAAAGACTTTGGTGTATAGTGTAATGGTTTAGTCTTGAGGATTACTGACATTTTTGGTACTTGGATTTGACTTAATGATATGTCTGTGAAAATGCGGTAATGACAAATGGAGACTCCTACCTCAATAGTTAATGGAATAATAAGAGCCTACTGTTGTGTCTAATGTTCTTCAAAAAAGTAATATCCTCACTTGGAGAGTGTCAAATACATACTTTGAGGATTGACTTATATAAGGTGCCCTGTAGAACTCTGTTACACATATTTTCGACCCATATTATTTACAATGTCTTGATAATTCTACCTTTTTAGAGCAAGAATAGTATCTGCTAATGTAAGGGACATCTGTATTTAACTCCTTTGTAGACATGAATTTCTATCAAAATGTTCTTTGCACTGTAACAGAGATTCTTTTTTTCAACAATCTTAATTCAAAAGCATTAGTAGACTTGAAAGGGTTTGATAATCTCCCAGTCCTTAGTAAGATTGAGAGGCTGGAGCAGTTTTCAGTTTTAAATGAGTCTGCGGTTAATATCAAATGTGAGTTTGGGACTGCCTGGCAACACTTATATTTCTTATTCAGAACCCTTGATGAGACTATTTTTAAACATACTAGTCTTCTGATAGAAAGCACTATACATCCTATTGTTTCTTTCTTTCCAAAATCAGCCTTCTGTCTGTAACAAAAATGTACTTTATAGAGATGGAGGAAAAGGTCTAATACTACATAGCCTTAAGTGTTTCTGTCATTGTTAAGTGTATTTTCTGTAACAGAAACATATTTGGAATGTTTTTCTTTTCCCCTTATAAATTGTAATTCCTGAAATACTGCTGCTTTAAAAAGTCTCACTGTCAGATTATATTATCTAACAATTGAATATTGTAAATATACTTGTCTTACCTCTCAATAAAAGGGTACTTTTCTATTAATTGGTCGTCAAGTATATCTGTGTTATGAAGTTCTAAAAGCTAGTTTAGCACTGTGAAATAACCTCATGTTTAAAAAATTAACCTTATATGCAATTTTTTCTTATTTATCAAATGATCTTCACATCTTTCATTTCCAAATTGTTGAAATGTACTAATGAATACAAATAGACTTCAAGTAAGCAAAAACATTCTTAATTTTGAAAACTGTAAAATAAAAGAAAGTCACTTAACCTTGGGCAATATGCTACTTTTTAAAAATCAGACTCTTAAGTTTGTATATTATGTTATTCAATAGACATTTTCTGAGTACCCCTTGAATGCTAAAAGTCCTGTGTTGAATGTGGGAGACTGAGGAGAACAAGATGTGCCATCTGCTCATTAATTGTTTACAATGTTAACATTGCTCGTAAATTCTTAGCGGTGTTTCCAAACAACTTGTCCTGACTTATACTGCAAACAAATGGTGGTAGAAGAATTTGTGGTCTAAACACCCCAACCTCTTATTTTTCTCCCAGTCAAGAGTTGCTAAAACTATTCAACCTTCAGCTGTGTTTCTTTGTGGCGGGGGGTAGAGAATTGTTTTTAATGTAGGCCTAGGGATTTAAAACTGTCACTGTTATTTGGGTTATCCAGAAGCCTGCCACAGAATTTGTATTGCCACAGGCAGTTGGGACAGTTTTCTGAAAGCTGCTATGATTGCTACCATTAATTGCAAAATTTAAAAAGTGGTCAGGGAATTTAGAAATTAGAGGAGAATTTTTCTCAGAATGGAAAGGATCTTAAGTGTTTGTCACCTAAATAAGACCACAACACCTGCAATGTTTTGAGTGTAAATTTTATTAAGGCCGAAAAAAACCACTGGCCAAGTCTACCACTTAAAATACCCAGTAAATATTTGTTGAATTCACAAATTAAGCTGCAAATCCAGACTATTGTTGGGTGAACAGGAAGTCTTGAATTTGTTGTTAAATATCCAGCGTATCTCTCTAATCTTGACCTGGGCCAAAAGGCCCCAACCTCCGTTCTTCTGTTACCTGTATCCATGTAGGAGATTGGACACCAGCAGCATGCCCAAAATTCTTCATTGACTAATGTGTATCCATGACCTTCGCTTTACTCAGTTCTCAAGGCCTGATTAAAATGTCACTGCTATTATATCTTTCCTGACCAGTTAGGCCCAAACAGCTGCTCCTTCCTTGTCCTCTGATATAACTTTCCACTTGCTTTGTATTGATTTGGTTACGGAAAAGATTCTTGAGGTTCGAAATCTCCTCTTACATTTGTATCTCCAGTACATGTTGGTTTAATAAGTGGAAGTTCATTCTGCCAACTTTTCTGTGCTGGCCCCACTGATCACTTCTGTTTGTTTGTTTGTTTGTTTGTTTGTTTGTTTTAAGATGGAGTCTTGCTTTTGTCGCCCAGGCTGGAGTGCAGTGGCATGATCTTGGCTCACTGCAGCCTCCACCTCCTGGGTTCAAGCAATTCTCCTGCCTCAGCCTCCCGAGTAGCTGGGATTACATACGCCTGCCGCCACACCTGGCTAATTTTTGTATTTTTAGTAGAGACGGGGTTTTGCCACGTTAGCCAGGCTGGTCTGAAACTCCTGACCTTGTGATCTGTACACCTTTGCCTCCCAAAGTGCTGGGCTGGGATTACAGGCTTGAGCCACGGCACCCAGACTGATCACTTCTAATCTATTGAAATCAGCCTCTATCAGCCATAAAATTGAATCTAATGATCTGGTCCCCGCAGAAGTCTCTACCTTTCTGCTTCACATTCCTTGGGACTTTACTGTACCCAGTAGCTCGTCGATGGAGAGAGGGATCATAGATGAAAGAAAGGCCATGCCTACAGATTGGCTGCCCTTCTTCACTAGAAAAGGGAGGCTGCTGGGGAAACCAGAAGCTACTCCTGAAGTTTGGAGGCTGGTGTGAATCACTGATTCTCAGTTTTCCTCTCTTTCCAATATGAAATGAAAAGTTTCTTGGGAGTTTTTTGTCGTTGGAGCTGGTATTATGAAGTAGAATTATCCCAAAGAGAAAATGAAATGTATTCCTTAAGTGACGAAAGCCAGAAATAATACCCTATGACAAGAGGGATCACTTGTATGATAGTTTACATATATGAAATAATGCTGATAATAATGGGTAATTGAATCCCTGAAGAAGACTATTCTGATGTGATGTGATCCTGTGAGGTGACTCTGAGTTCTGTGGCGGTATAACGACCAGTCTTGGTGCTAAAACACTAACTCTACCATTTAGTGTCAAGTCAAACTCTCTGAGTATGCTCCTAAGTGAAACTCAGGATCTACCGCATGAATTTGGTATGAAAATTGAATGTAACAATGGATGTCAGAGGGCTTTCTCAAATTTAAAGTGTTATGAATATAACGTGTTATTGTCCTGAGAGTGTTTCTGGCCCAGTGATACAGATTAGAAGTAGGACAACTGACCATTCCGTCTTCCTATTAATGATCACACCTGGCAACACCCAGTATTCAACCTAATTCACATTACAGGAGTATGGGATCATTCTTCACATTTCTGAGCTACCAATGTTTATAAGGCTCAACATTTCCAAAAAGCTATCAGTATTAGTGTTTTGTTGTTTGCATCTTGATCCAAGACCTTTTTGCTATATTTGTCCTCTGTCTTTGTGCTGCTCCTACATAATATACGCAATTAGCAACCATGTCTTATGAATTATCCTGTAGTAATGGTGGCTGTATATTAATTCATATTCACCATTCTGTCATTTTGGAAATGAATGGTAAAACATTTTAATCCAGAAGATAGTATGAAATTTGGTGAACTTGAGTCTTCCCTGCTTCACTTTTATCTACCCCCAACTCCCTAAGTAGTACTTATCTTAACTCTCCTCAGAAAACCAGTATCTTCATATTTTCTCCTTCCTCTCCCTATCTGTAGTTCTGGAGAAAGGATCTGAAATAGTCTGTAAACAAAGAACTGCAATATTATCCGTTTCAGGGTGTGAGTTCATTGCGAATCAAAGCCTTAAGTAAAAGAGAGCCTGGGTTAAAACTTTGGCCAATTGCCGGGCGCGGTGGCTCACGCCTGTAATCCCAGCACTTTGGGAGGCCGAGACGGGCGGATCACGAGATCAGCAGATCGAGACCATCCTGGCTAACAAGGTGAAACCCCGTCTCTACTAAAAGAAATACAAAAAATTAGCCGGGCGTGGTGGAGGGCACCTGTAGTCCCAGCTACTCGGGAGGCTGAGGCAGGAGAATGGCGTGAACCCAGGACGCGGAGCTTGCAGTGAGCTGAGATCCGGCCACTGCACTCCAGCCTGGGCGACAGAGTGAGACTCCGTCTCAAAAAAAAAGAAAAAAAAAACTTTGGCCAATTAATGGGAAGTTTTATTTTGGATAGCAAGCCTTCTTAATGCCCCTAAAGCCCCTCTTAAAACTGGTAACCCTTTGGGGAAATGACTTCTTTCATCTGATTATGAGACGACTGGCCTAAGGGACTGAATAGAAGCCCCATCGAAGATTGAACTCATATCTTTATTCATGCTATCCAACCCAAATTCTCTCTATTCTGTCATCAAAAAGTAATTTAGGCATTTTGTATCATAATAGCCATATTGTTCAGATAACCTTATCCAAGATAGCAGCTGTTTTCCTTGTGAACACAATAGTCACTGACCTTGAAAGAATGTCATTTAAACAGTGACAGGTGATCGTTTGTTAAATAGGGTCTGGGTACTCTACAGTCAACTACGAGAATCCAGGTAACAGTGCCAAATTCAAAACAGTCTTCATTGAATGTGCCTTTAAAAAAGGCTTAAAAGACCATTTGTTCAACATCTACTGCCTGGTCATACTGTCAGGAGAATAAAATTCAACGGCTTTACCTATCTTGGTTTTTTTCTTGTTGTTTGTTTTGTTTTGTTTTATACCAAATATTTTAACTTAACCCATGTCTGCTTTTGGACCTGTAAAAACCTTAAAAGCTTTGTGACTTAAAAAAACATTCTACTGGGGTTCAGTGCCCTTTGGAAATCCTTGTAGAAGTAATACATTCTAGCATGTTACTCTTGATAAGACTGCAATATTGATAATATGTCAAAACCATTCCCTTCTTTTGTGCACATTAAACTGAAAATGGCAGCTTTGACGTAAGACATCTGCTTGTGAATTCATTAGCTAAACTATTACCAGCAAAGCACATTTATTTATTTCTTCTTAAAATTGTAAGTTCAAAACACATTTTATTGGTGATTCACTTTCCTGCTCCTCTTCCCAAAACCTTTGTGTTTTGGGTACGGAAAGGCATTTTACTTATTTTTCAGGTAACCTAGTAATCAGGTTTCACGTGTGACTATTTAAAATATAAACACAGCGTATTTCACTTCTTTTATTGCTCTTTTTTGAAGGAAATTGCCACAATCCTTAGAAATGAAAATCCTAAAATCTCACATTTGAAGCATTATTAAAATAGCATCCAGGGCCGGGTGCGGTGGCTCAAGCCTGTAACCACAGCACTTTGGGAGGCCGAGACGGGCGGATCACGAGGTCAGGAGATCGAGACCATCCTGGCTAACATGGTGAAACTCCGTCTCCACTAAAAAATACAAAAAACTAGCCGGGCGAGGTGGCGGGCACCTGTAGTCCCAGCTACTCGGGAGGCTGAAGCAGGAGAATGGCGTAAACCCGGGAGGCGGAGCTTGCAGTGAGCTGAGATCCGGCCACTGTACTCCAGCCTGGGTGACAGAGCGAGACTCCGTCTCAAAAAAAATAAAAAATAAAAACAAACAAACAAACAAACAAACAAACAAAAAGCATCCAGATAACCTTTTAGTCAGTTTTTATCTTTCTCCTCTCCTACGACAGTGGAAATAGAACATTACACTAATGCCTCTAGTTTTTTCCTGCTTTACTTTTTTCCTTGAAGACAGTGAAGAGTTCTCAAATTTCTACTCACATACTACTTTCTATATTCCATTCTCATTTAGTAACCAAATCTCAGTTTTCC